CGTAACCTGTGTACAATAACGTTTTGTGGTCCACTAACATACGCTCCAATTTTTGGACCTCCTTTTCACTTTCGCAGTCTTTCTTTACGTCGCACAATATCTGACCTAGATCATCCGCACCGTTGTTTTCTTCAACAGCTCCACCCCCATCGCCTGTTGTATCTGCAAATCCACCGTATTGAGCCCAGTCTGGAACGTTGTCATTTTCTTCATCATCTTCTTCCATTGCAATCCCAAAGTCTCTATGCAAGGTCCAACAATTATAGCTAGGTATGAATTCTGATTGCAATAAGTGGGTATGAAGAGTCCTTGATGCAAAATACTCTTTCTAGTTTTGTACTTTTTGCATGGACAATATATAAAACCTTAGGCCTGTGGGCATTGGCCACATAAAAAATAATGTACACCATCAACAAACTCCTTCGATCGTCTATCCGCGGTATGCCGGTATACATCCATTGCCAATTCATCTACATCAAATAAACAAATGTTAAGGAAATCCACGAAAGTGAAAATAATTAAATAATCATATAATATTTAAAACATCATAATTAAACTCACAACTGAAGTCACAAATCTCTCTGACTATTTCTTTAAGAAAATTGTAAATATGCTTTTCCATGTATTATCCTTTTAAAAAAACATTTTACAAGTTTTTAAAAAAATGAAAACATATTTTTAATGATTTTTTCTTATTTCTAACTATTTTAATGTGTTAAAAATGGACTTAGTTTTCTATTTTTTTTCTTCATTTTCTACAATTTTCCTTTGTTTTATTTTTTTAAAACATTTTTATCAAATGTGTCTTATTTTCTCCAAATATTTTTCTCTCCCTCTTTTTCCATATACTTTTTTGAGAGATAATGACATATAAAAACATAGCTAGAAATGTAATATGCTAATCATACATCAATACAGAATAAAATTGCTAACCTTTCATATCCCTTCGATTTGTGTAATATCACCAAATTATTTTCACGAAAAATTTTGGCAACACCTCCTTTCCTTCTCCAACCTCTTGGCAGCAATGACACGGGCCGAAGGAGGAAGAAGGCATATAATTTTTAGTACTGGTTGGTGTTACCAACCGATAATAAAGATCATATAGTATCAGTTGGTAACAAAAGAGCCCAGGGTGCTTAACATGGTAGTACTGACAAAGTTCAACCGGGACTAAAAACAATCTTTAGTATCGGTTGGTGTTACTAACCAGTACTAAAGATTGTATTGTGTCGTGAGGGTTATTAAATAGTACTAAAGACGGCATCTTTAGTCTCGATTGGTAATAGAATCGAGAGATTTGTATTTTTGGGAACCACAATAAAAGATCAGTTCTCCGGTAGGGAATGCGGGACACAGGCACTATGCAAACGCCACCACGTGGCAAAGCATATGACATGATATATAGAAACATTAATTACCCTCTATTGATACATGTACTCTCTCCATTTCATATTATAAGATTTTCTAGCATTGCCCACATTCATATATATGTCAATGCTAGAACACTACTACATGAAAGATTTTCTTGGACACTAGACCCTTTTGTTTCCAGGCGGACCATAAGTGCAACCGCACATGAAAATGAGGGAAGGGCGTCGGGCCATCGCCCACACAGGAAAATCATTTTTCGTGTGCGGATCACTTAACAGACCCGCACAGGAAGATAAGCCTATTTTCGCGTGCGGTTGTTAAGTCAACCACACAGGAAAATAGCCCACCCCAAGTGCTGCCCATCATCCCATCTTCCTCTTATCCTCCTCTCCATCCTCCCATCACGCGCGCGCCTCACTCATTTATGGTCCTCCCCATCCTACCTATCCTCACTGTCCCTCTCCTCCTCCCCATCCTCCCATCTCCCTCTCCCTGTCCCTCTCCTCCCCGGCAACGGCGGTGCCCTCGGTTAGGGCGGCGAAGGTGGTGGCATCGGCGGGCGTGGAGGCGGCGGCATCGGCTACGGTGTTGGCGGCGGAGCGGATCTGTCTCCGGCCGCCGCGTAAAGGCCAGATCCGTTGCCAGCCGCCGCGGGAAGGCAAGATCCGTGGCCCGCCGCCGCTGGGAGGCCGGATCCGTGGCCTGCCACCACGGGGATGTCGGATCCGTCGCCTGCCACCACGAGGAGGCTGGATCCGTTGCCGGCGACCGCGGGGACGACGGCGGCAGGCCTCAGGCAAGGTGGCGATGACGATGACAGGCCTCGGGCAAGGCAACGATGATGGTGGTGGCCGTGGTATTGACGGCGGCTAGGTTAGGGCTTGCGGGTGGATTTTGATTTTTTTTGTTTCAGTTTTTTATTTTTCCCATGCGGGCGGCCAAAGCGCCCACACGCGAAAATCGATTTCCGTGTGCGGGGGCGTCACCCGCACAAAAACCAGGATTTTTGCAAACGTTGCCTTCCAGACGGGTGGAAGCTCCACATGTGAAAATCAATTCCACCCGCACGGAAAAATCTTTCATGTAGTAGTGGAAAGTCTTATAATATGAAACGGAGGAAGTACCTATCATGTGTTTACATGATTCACGTCCATTAATTACCCTCTATTGATATATGTACCTGTCATGCGTTACATGATTCACGTGTGTATGAACACGGGAGACCAAATTAAGTTGGCAGTTTGTCCTTTTTACATCATCTGCTGCTCCCAGTTAAATGCAAAATAGTTCGTTTGAAAACCGCTTGAGATTGAAATATCTGTAATGGCATACATTTATATCTTTTAGATAATGACATACATCCTCTCTTACTATAAAGTTACAATTAATCCACTAAATCCTAAAGCTTACCATATAAAAATGTCACATTATTATCCACTAACAATATGCCAAATCACCATCCACTAATAATTACTCTCTCGGTTCCATGATATAAGGCACAACTATTTTTTTTGGATGTTCCATAATATAAGGCATATATGCATGTATAAAATTAATCAGGACCTCTTCTCCATTAAATTATTACTTTTTAAATCCTCCACCCTCAAGATCTCTAATTCTATTGGATGCATGCATTATATTTATTAGGGTGATTCAAACTAGGATATGATAATAATTATTTTTTGGTCTTTGCGTTAAAGGTGGTCGTGCCTTATATTTTGGAACGGAGGGTGTATTATATTTAAACATCATACAAGCATGCTATATTATCTATAGTTTTATATTTTATTAAATTTTAGAGCTTTTAAAATGCAAACATGCTAAATCGTTATTCCACATAATTCACATAATATTTTAATATATATATTTATTATTTTTTATAATATCATATATACCTGTATAGTTCATTCTCACTTAGTTAATGTTGTTTCTCTCTTCTCTTATTAAGCAATATTACATTAATTGTTTTTAGTCCTTAGATGATTAATTAATCTATGATCCAAATTATATATCTTCTTTTTTCTCTCATTAAGCCATATCACCTCAATTGTTTATAGCTGTTAGATGATTAATCTATATGGTCCAAACTATCTCCTTCGTTTTGTTCTCATAAAGCCACATCACTTTACTTTTATATTTATATTTGAATCATTATTCTATATACTATTTAAATTTAAATTATCATAAACCACATCAACTTACATAAGCTTATATTATCTTGCTATCTTATATATTATTTTTACTTATTGTTATTATACTAAAATTTTATAACAACACGCGGAGTTTCACCTAATTTATATAGATTCGGAATATGTGTTCACATAGATAAACGGCATGCATGCCATTGATCATCTTTTATTAATATTTATGCGGGTGACACTGGGTAGAAAGCAGTGCCCAACATAATTATTCAGAGATTTATATACCATCAAGGTATTCTATCTTACCTAGGATATTTTAACCACTACTTCATATACCACACACTACTACAAAACATCACAACAGTGCCGCCAATCACTGCAGGTTAGTTAAAAACCGACGCTCTCTATAAATCAATGACTGTTAATTAGACTGTAAAAAAAACACAGGGATCAAATGAGAGAGACATAGACTTAAAGGAAAATTTTCAAGAGATAAAATGCACGAGAACACATGCATGTTTCCTAGTTTTTAAGAAAATTGACGCAAAGTTACTTTTGCGAAAGCTGAATGCTTCAAAAAAAACCAAACGGCCAGGTTAATATAGTTAATTTAGGAAAAATGATGCCATATTAATGACTTAAAATGACCAGTAAACCTTTTATTGTAACAGCAGTTGCTTCCTAACAAACCAATCATACAGCACAGCCACGCCAGTAGACCCAGCCAACATTGAAGAGCTTGCCGATGATCCTCCCAAGAACACCAGTGGTGGCAGTGGGACCAGCGTGTTATCCCGACGAGCTACCTTGACAGTGACCTATGGCTGTGTTTAGTTGAGGGGGAAGTTTGGATTTTGGTTAAAATTGAAGATGATGTGACTGAAAAGTTGTATGTGTATGATGGGTTGATGTGACGGAAAAGGACTGAAGTTTAAAGTTTAGATCCAAATTTTGAATCTAAACACAGCCTATATATCATTGGAAGGCGTTGGTCAGCACAACATAGGTCACCTCAGCTGGGCCATACCATGTGATGACCGTCTCGACTATGGCACTGTTGTAGTCGGTGAAGTCACAGGTGCAGGTATTGCAGAATATCTCCCCAACGTTATCTTCCTCATCGTCATCTTCTTCTTCTTGGCTACCGTCATGGAGATTGATCAGGTCAATGCCGACATACACCGAGATGGCAAAAGATGGGCCAGTTAGCACGAGGTTCCCCTGTTTTGAGAGAAAACATAACCCAATTAAAAGTGGTTTAAGCATTCTTCGAAAGCATAAAATTTACATAATTTTCACAAAAATTATATTGAATCCCATGAAAATATTTTCGAGAGTTAATTTCAGTTTGGACCCTTCTTATCGAGGTTTAACATTGGACCTTATTTACTCCATAATTTCACCTTGGACACCTTTATTTTACCCTTAGTTTTTCCTCTGTACTCCCTTTTATTCATACTCAAGATTTGTCTCAGTGTGCTACAATTATCTGCACCTTGGTCATACTTCACACTCATCTTGTCTCGTTACGTCCGGAAAAATACAACCATTTTTTTAAACGCTTATTGTATTAATCCCTGTCCCATGAACACGCCAAATTCCTCGCTGTTCTACTGCTGCCTTTCTTTGTTTCCTCTGTTTCTTCTCATCTTCTTACTCTCCAAGTCTTCCAAATCGCCGTCGTTGCGGCAGAGCTCCTCGGTGCACTAGCTCTAATTTTGATTGCCTCCGGTTAGTTTTATGGTGATGATTCACTCGGCTTCTTCTTTATGGACTGCTCGTTGCTGCTGATTGATCTACAGTGCTGCTTGATCACCATCGATACTGTAAGTATCATGTATTCAACATGTTCTTCTACTAATCTCCAGGCATGAGTTGCATCGATCTAGTTAATTAGTGATTATTGCATTTTCTATAATTTAGTATATGTGCAAAAGCTATGCAGGGTACTGTTCATGTAGATTATATATAATATCATTGCAGGAGCCTAATTATCGACTCACTTCCAATTATGTCCGATGTTCTATGCATTGCATGCAACGCAATTGTTTACCAACTAGTGGGAAGCTCTGCAGTATTTTCATTCATGGATTCTTCTATTGACTACTTTTGTTATTGCAGCAGTAGATTACGTTCTTAATTTTGTTAAGGTCATTCGCGATGATATTAATTCATGAGCTCCGTTTGATGCGTGTATGGCATGTTTGATTCGATCATTTCAATAAGCTGCTTAAAAATTGATTTTTTTTAGACACACCCCCTTTATTTTTTTTCAAACGGGCCGAAAAAAGACCCATACGTACAAAGATTTTCGAGGTGGCCAGCAAATACCTGTATGTGAAAATTAATTTTCGTGTGCGAACCTTGTGATATGTTCGCATGCACAAATAGGTAAATTGCTTTATTTGTGTAGACAGGCCTGTTAAGAGGCGTGCCTAGTAAAAAATCAACCGCTCAATCCTCTCCCCCTCTTCTTTTCTCTCCTCTCTTTAAAAAAAAAAATCTAATTCCCCACTTCTCTCCTCTCATCTCCTCCTTTTTCACCAGCCCCCTCCTCCACCGGCTGGCCACGGGAGCAGCAACAACGGTCGTGATGAAGGCAGCGACAAGAGCGGCCACGACGCCCGGAGGGACAACGATGTGAGCCGCGGAACAGGCTTGAGCTGGCATAAATGGACCCACGATGGCCGGATCCAACGGCGGTGGCCTTGCCACAGTTGGATCCAGCGGAGATGGCCTAGGATGACAACCTCAACAATGACGATGACCCCGACTGTTTGCGCGTAATGGTAGCGGGAGCAGCCACCGAGCGCCTTGGCAGCTCCTCCTCCACTACCACTGGCAGGCTTGCAAAGGCCGGATCCGGCGCTGGCGGGCTCGCGACAGCCGGATCCTGAGAAGGTGGCCCCGGGTCGATGATTCCGATTGCTAGCAGCGGTGGTGGCTAGGGTTTCTTGACCGGAGGGCATGGATCGATGGCGGCATCCCCTAGATCTAGTGAGAGGGGAAGGAAGCAGTGGAGAGGGCTTCGGATCCAACGGTGGGGTCGTCGTGTTCACCCCGATGAACCCTGTTTGACAGTGACCCATCCTTCGACGACGTTGGTCAGCACTGCGTAGGTCACCTAAGCGGGGCCATATAGCCTCGATTATGGCCATGTTGTAGTCAGTGAAGAGACCGTTGCATGTATTGCAGATTATCTCCACCTCGTTCTCATCATTATCTTCATTTTGTTCGCTACCGTCATGGAGACAATGGGTACAGATAACAGGGGCATATGCCAAGGTGGCAAACAATGGACTGGTTAGCATGATGCTGCCCTGTTTTGAGAGAGAAAAAATAATCCAATTGAACCTAGAATATGCATTATTTGAAAGCATCAATTTTACAAGATTTTTAAAAAATATATCAAATCCCACAAAAATAATTTTAAGAGTGAAAATTCAGTCTGGACTCCTTACTGAAGTTCCATGTTACACCCCCTTTAGCCCATACTAGAAAATTGGCTGCCGGTTGGCTCGCCTTGTAGCTAGCCCGTCCATATGGCTTTAAAAAAATCATTTAATCAATATAGCCTCTTATATTGCTACATCGATTTCTATTTTGTTGTAACCTATAGCAGGTAGTATTTTTCCTTGTCATATGCTAATCACCATCTATTACATATATGCAGGTAATTTTCAGGGCAACGCACTGGCTCCGGTTTTAGGCAAGCTACAAAGATGTGAGTATGATGGGGAGTTCCTAAAGGTTGCATGCCGCAGGTTGGAGTCAATGCTTATGTAACTATTTGCTAATTATGGGTGAAGGTTAACAAATAGACTTCAATAAATGTGTTCTTCTTAAATGTGTTCTTCTTATTTTGGCTAGGTTACCTTTGTTTACTCGTTTCTGGGGTGCTACTTTGTAATAATTGGATGTAACTCTTTTTAAGCAAATGCTGGGATGATATATTCTATTATCTTAAAAAAATGCATATTGGCTCTGCGCTAGCTTGTTGCAACCCGCAGGGAATGGGGTTAGACCGGCTGTGCTGTGCTCGGGTGGAGCATGCTAAGGTATAGCTTTGTAAAAAAAGAAAAAAAAAAGTACGAATTACCCAATTACAGTACTAGACTATTTTAACCCTAAATTTTTTAAACTGGATAAATTACCTCCTATAACTCAGCTCGAAGCGGTTTTAATCTTAGTCTCGAAGCGGTTTTAATCCCACAGGCACACAAGTGGCAGTCTAATCGATAAAAATAATAAAAAATAGTGGGCCCCGCTTATCAGCATCTTCTCTCTTTTGCTTTCTTCCACCTCCTTCCCCTCCCATCCATCTCTCTCTCCAGTCACCAAGGAGCACTGAGTAATGGCAGCAACGGCATCACCAACGCGGGAGGAGAGGAGCAGCAGGTAGCGTGCGTCTTGCAGCCTCAACGGCACGCGCTAGGGGTGGCGGAGGACGGCGCGACAGTCTAGGCGAGGGCGGCGGCAGCATTCCCGGCGGCAGGCGGCAATGGTGTGCGAGACGAGGGCGGCGAAACGGGATGCGGCCTCGGCTTCCATCAACACGCGGGAGCTAGGGCGAGCTCCGGCGCTGAACCTCTCCGGTAACCGGCTCACCGGCGAGTTACTGGAGGGGTTCTTCTCGCTGGCGCTGCTCGAGAAGGTGGATCTCTCCGGGATGCCGGCGAGCGCCTTCCTCGGCACGACGCTCTGCGGCGCCCTGCTCGCCCCGTGCGCCAACCCCGCGCTGCTGCCGTCATCGCTCGGGAACAGCAAGGGCGGAGGGAAGCTCACCCGTGGCGCGGTCATCGGCATCATCCTCGACGTCGTGGCTGTGCTCATCGTCATGCTTGTTGGGAATAGTCCCACGTTGAAAGTTTAGGGGGAGTGACACCAACTTAAAAAGGGGAGGGGTCCCTCACCTCATGAGCTAGCTTTTGGGGTGTAGAAAGGCTTTCTCCCGGTTGGGCCAACATCTCCCGGTTTTGGGCCAACAAGTGGTATCAGAGCTGGGCCCACAATCTCTCTAAGTGCCGTGCACACTCGTGTGGTGTAAGCCCGAAGCCCAGTGGACCGCGGGTGTGAGGCCCGTATGTGCCTATGTGTTGGGCCAGTCAGTGGACCGCGGGTGTGAGGCCTGTATGTGCTCGTGTGTGGAGCCTGGTCAGGGCTAAGGGGCACCAATGTGTGACGGGAGAGATTGTTGGGAATAGTCCCACATTGAAAGTTTAGGGGGAGTGGCACCAACTTAAAAACGGGAGGGGTCCCTCACCTCATGAGCTAGCTTTTGGGGTGTAGAAAGGCTTTCTCCCGGTTTTGAGCCAACAATGCTCGCCGTGGGGTACTTGGCATGCTTCCGGCGCTGAGCAGAGCAACGGCTGGTCGGAGCACCACCACCGCAGCGGCCACCCCCGACATGACGGAGCCCATCACGGTGACCGTGGCGAGGACGGACAGCGAGACAAGGACGTCGCCGTCAAGCAGTCAGCAGTCGCACTCGCTGGCGATGATGACAGGCGAAGGCAACAAGCTGGTGTTCCTCGACAGCGTGCCGGAGCGGCCGTACGACCTGGACACGCTGCTGCGCGCGTCGGTCGAGGTGATGCTTGCGCGGGTGGTCGATTACGAGGAGTGCGGCGGCGGCGGCGGCAGCAGCGAGGTGGTGGTTTGCTCTGGTGGTGGAGAGAGGTAGGAGGGGAGTGACCTGATAGTGGGCCCCACCGACTTTTTTAAATGAATTGATGACTGGACTGCCACGCATATACCACGTAGGACCGAAACCACTCCGGATTGAGTTAAGAGGGTTATTTGTCCGGTTTTAATAGTTGAGGGTCTAAAAGGTCTGGTTTTCGAGTTCGAGGGGGTAATTCAGTCGTCTACGATAGTTCAAGAGGTAATTCGTACTTTTTCCTAAAAATACAACGCTATGTTTGTACATTGACTTAGCATAATATCGTTGCACGCATCATGGTATTGATAGGATCATCACTTCAAATGAGTTCACGCGCGATTTGAAATTATTACCTTCCCATATATATGATTGATGTAGCATTATTATTTAACTTTACTTTTTCTCCATTTTCTTTTTTACTATAGCCCTTTTGTGCCTTCAGTATTTTTGAGTTAGTTTATAATTTTCTTTGGAGATAGCAGTGCTGTTATTTTATTGGTGTTTCAAAGTTTGGTAGGGTAATAAACCTTTGTTACATAGTTGTACAATGTATGTATTTGATTTTTTTTTTAGAAAGTGGCTAAGTCCATACCAGTTTGTTTATTAGATTATATATGCTCAGATTTTTGTAATAAAAAATAGTCGTGACATCCTTTTAAATATAAAATTTTATAATTTTACACTTAGCTTTCTTTACAACATGTAGGAGTGAAATAGAGCAAGAAAAGAATAATAAGGAAGATAGAGGGAAAAAAAAAGAAAGGGGGGGGGGGGCAAGGCAGGCCCAAGACAAACAGGCCCAGCACCCGTCTCCTACCTGTTGGGCCAGGCGAGCTGAAGCCCACGCCCCAGCAGCAGCCAGTTTGGCTCTAGTGCGGGCGTAGCGCGAGCGTTTGATGAAGCGGTAGCACGCGTTGCGCAACTATTGGTGCCACGTGGCGCATAATTTTGCAAGAGAACCCGTCAATTTTAGAATATTAGATTTTTATTTTTGTTTTTTATACATTTTTTTTGTTTCACTTTGAACTCCTTTTTACCTAATCCTCAATGTTACTCTCCGTGTGACAACGTAAACTGCACTCTGGTGCTCATCTCGACCATGCCGTTGCATTGATGTCCTTTGCATACCCAAAGACGGCAGGGTTCAGGAAAATGGGACTAAAGTGAATCAAGAAGATGTTTAAAAAGGGTGTCCAAAGTGAAAATATGCTAAACCAAATCGAAACTTGGGTTAAATACTAAAGTTAATCTATTTCTTTCTTGATTAATATGAATGCTAGTTGCAAATATACGAGTTCAAAATTTTTGAGTTTTTCATTTGCACTATAATAAGAAAAAAAGCAATGTACTTGTATGTAGCACCAATAATTATTGGTCCGGAACAAATTAAGGAGCTACACAAATCCTGAATTGCTCATTCGCCATTACTAGTCACGGGAATATTAGGCCCTGTTCATATTATAGCCAAAATAAAACTTACCAAATTTTAGCAATGCCAAAATTTTGACAAGATGGTAATATTGTTAAAATTTTGGCAGGATTTCTTATGTATTTAACAAATTTAGCGACAACCTAAACATAGATATTTTTTTGACAGCTTAAAAAAAAAGGGTATGGTTGAAAATGGCATTAAAGTGAACAGGCCCTTAGTCTTGAGACTCTTGTGTAGGTTTAGACTCTGTTGTACAGTTTTAGCTAAGGCCCAGTTTAGTTTCCACAAAAAAAACTTTTCACCATGTTAAATCGAATGTTTGCAACTCTTGTGTAGGTTTATCTTGTGTAGGTTTAGACTCTGTTGTACAGTTTTGGCTAAAACCCAATTTAGTTCCCACGCAAAAATTTTCACCATGTCAAATCGAATGTTTGGACACATGCATAGAGTATTAAATATAGACAATAAAAAATAATTACAAAGATTTGCGTGTAAAATTGCGAGACGAATCTTTTAAGCCTAATTGCTCCATGATTTGATAATGTGGTGCTAGAGTAAACATTTGCTAATGACAGATTAATTAGGCTTAATAAATTCGTCTCGCAGTTTACAGGCGGAATCTGTAATTTGTTTTGTTATTAGTCTATGTTTAATACTTCAAATGTGTATCCGTATATTCGATGTGACACGCCAAAACTTTTCGTCTCACGATCTAAACACAGCCTAAATTCAGAGTATGAAACAAAGTCTGATGGTTTACGCAGGAAAGCTGATTTATGAGTCAGATTCTAGAATTGTGGAATACGATGGGAGTCTTACACAGGGGCGGAACCCAATGGACCAAGGGGGTGCCCAGGAACCCGGCCCAAAATCTAAAATACCTTGTTACCCTCGTACCTAGGGAAAAGTACACCCAAGGCCCCTTAACTTGTCATCGAGATACAAAATCGTCCCCCAATCATAAAACCAGATACCGGGCGTCTCTCAACTAACAAAACCATTCGCTTTAGGTTTCTCGGTGGTTTTGACCCGGTTTTATCCCACGTGGCGGCTGAGTCAGCGTGGGACCCACGTGGGTCCCACATGTCAGGCTATCCATGTCAGCCTCCTCTCTCTCTCTTTCCCATCCTTCCCCTTCCTCATCTCTCTCTCTCATTTTTCTCCTCTTGTCCGACGGAGCAAGCGAGCCATCGCTCGGCGGCGACGATGCGGGAGAAGGGGAGTGCGTTACCGATGCAGTGGGCACGGCAGGCCCGGCGGGGGAGGAGCGCGGCGGTGGCTCCTGGAAAACACGGCCTCGAGCTCACTCCCACGCGCTTCAACCGCGCGTGCCGGTCCCAGGAGGCTGTCGTCTCCGATGATGGCGACAACGGCGACGATGGAGACGCGCTACCACCGCCGACAACGACGGAGCCGCTCCGACGATCTACCACCGACAGCAACGACGGAGCCGCGCCCGCGCGCTCCTGATTCCTAAAGGCGGTGCCTGCTTCCGCGCTTCGTCGCCCGTCACCTGATTCAAGAACCGATGGCTGCGGCGACGGCAGCCGTGCAGCAGCTGGCCGCGGACGGTGAAGGTGACGGCGTAGGCGCCCACGCCACGGGCCCGCGCGTAGCCGTCGGCGGCGTAACCGGCGTTGAGCTCGTTGCAGCAGCCAACGATGTGGAGGCCGGGCTCGGCGATGAGGTGGTTGAGAATCGTGAGGTTCAAGTCCCCGGGCACGGCGAAGACGTCGCTGACGCCCACCTGCACGAGGCGGTGTGCCAAGTGGCGGCCGAGTGTGGTGTCGCCGGAGGCAGCGGACGGCACCACCGCCTCCTTAGGAGATCCTCCTCCGCCGGTGGTCTCCATTGTCCTTGTTATCGATCGATCTTAATTACTCCGCATGCGGGCGTATATATATGCATGATGAAGAGATGATGTGCGTGGTGGCTGTTGTAAATATGTGGTTGTCGATCGATCTTAATTACTTTGCATGCGGGATTTTTCGCCGCCGCTGTCCTCATCCGCTCCCGCTGCTCCTTTGATGGTGCCCGCGATGACGGTACCGGCCCTAGGAGGTTGTCGCCGACGGCGGTGGCGGCAACGACGACGAAGACGCACCAACGCGCTACATCCGCTGTCGCCGCTGACGAAGCCGCTCCTGGGCAGACGTGCTACCGCCGCCGCCGCCGACGCGCGGACGCGCTACTGCCGCTGCTGCCGATGCGCTACAGTCGTCGCCGCCGACGGAACCGCTCCTGGGCAGACGCGCTTCCGCCACCGCCGTCGACAGAGCCGACGACTCATCTGGGTGTGTGTAGGAGAGAGGAAGAGAGGAGGAAGGGAGAGGAGGCTAACATGGATAGTTTGACATGTAGGGCCCACGTGGGTCCTACGCTGACTCAGCCGCCACGTCAGACAAAACCAGGATCAAAACCACCGAGAGACCTAAAGTGAACGGTTTTATCAGTTGAGGGACGCCCGGTATCAGATTTTGCGTTTGGAGGATGATTTTATATCTCGATGACAAGTTGAGGGACCTTGGATGCACTTTTTCCTCATACCTACAGCATAGAGGCACCACACCCTCCTCTCGTCCGGCCCAAATTTGAAAGGCCCAACCAGAAGAAAGCCCCAAAACCAAAACGATTTTGCTATATCTCACTCGGAAGATTTTTTCTTATCTCTCACTCGATTTTCTCACTTAAATTTACAGTGCATTTTCTTGTAAGTTACAGTGTAATTTATGAAACTTACACTGTAACTTTTGTAAGTTACACTGTAATTTTTGAATCTTCACATGTAAATTTTAAATTTTGTATTGGATTTGGTCTTTTTCTCGAGGATATGGTAATTTAATGTTCATTATGGTGTTTCTTAATTGCTTTTTGCTTTTTATTATATCTATCGGATTTTAATACAAATATTAAAAATCTGTGTGATACGATTATAAAAATCTTTTGAAAGATGTATAGGTACTCCCAAACCAAAAATTAAGCAGTGGGAGAAACTGAAACGTCCAACGACGCTTCCCCTCGAAGCCTCGCGTGATACCGAAGCGGTAGTTTCGATTTTCTCGCCTGAGTCGCCTCAACGCCCAATCTCTCTCCTCGCATTCGTCTGACCTGTCACCTCTCCCCGGGAGGTCGCCCTTTTCTCGCCGCCTCACCGGGGACCCAGCCCGGCAGCCCCAATCGAAGAAATTTCTCATGTGTAAAGCACTAAAGCCTTTCCCTGGTAGGTTTGCCTCCCTTTTCCAAAATTTTGCACTGATTAGGCTAGCTTAGGGCTTGCAACTATAGAGGCATATAGAGATAGATGACGGGGGCAGGAGGAGGATGACTGGAGGAGGACGGCGGCAAGCTGCAAGCTAGCAACGGCCAATAGCTGGAGCTTGCCGGCTGGCCGCTCACCCTAGCTTATCGATCTACTCTGAGCCCCACAAAAATTGCAGCCAGCAGCACTAGCTGAGAGCAACTGAATAAGTGAACTCTTTCTCTCAATTTTTCTTATCCTTAGTTTGTAGTTTTGTGCCAAAATAAACTTGAAAATTTTTATTTGGTCTTAATAGATTGCTATATAGCACTGGATAGTACGAACAATATGAAGAAATTTGTTTTAATTTGTACCAAATCATTTCATAACTTATTCTCGGTTGAAAATTAAACTATATTTTCAAGGTCATTATCCTATGGAGGAATGAAGACGGTGACATTCGCATGATATATTCATATTATTAGTTGATTTCTTCATTATGGTACGTATTTTTTATTTTTTTATGTATTTCTTGTGGTATATTCCCTTCAAATGAAGAAATAATGCTTATATTTATTTATTGGTATGCAACTATTTAGTATAATATCGCTCTATAATTATAGATGTTAGTATTACATAAATAAAGGTAGGAATCCCTCGTCTTTTCTCTAGCTCCGCCCCTAGTCTTACATGGGTGTCGCAGGGCGGTGGGTAGGTGGAGTCGTCAGTACGGCTGCGGCTGTAGATGACGTCGTTGCAGAAGCTGATGGTGCCGCAGGGCGGCGGCGCCCGCGAAGATCTCCGCAGTTGGTCGTACGCGGCCAGATCGTCGCCGGTCGGGGCGTCGCTGTACCCCGTCGCCGCCGCCATGAATGAGAGATCGAATACTCTCGTCGATCGATCGGCACCCGCCCACCGATTACCGAATGTATCGGGGACAGTCTGCACTGAGCGAATAGTATCAAATCAGTGGGTAGAGAAAGACGCAAACGGAAATCAAAACCAGAAGGAGAAGAATCAAGGAGGAGGAAGCTGGAGTGGAGGAGGAGATCGATCGTCGAACCTTGCGGCGCCGGAGCACCGATCACCGCTGTCGGGCGTGGAGTAGCACTCTAGGAGAGAACTAGACAAAAAGGAAGGAGAGAAGATCGAACGACTACTCGACGAGGATTGCCGGGATGCGGCGGGCCGGGGAGCAGCGTGGAGGCTGGATCCGGGCATGACGACGACCTCTCTCTAGGCCGCACCGCCGTGTGCGTGTGCCCCTCCTCCCCGAGCCGCCCCGGCCCCGCCGCGTGCCTCCGCCACGATGGAAAATTTTTAATGTGTTTTTTCTACTTTTGTATTTTTCAAAAGAATTTCTCAAGGAAATAGTCCAAATATCACCTTAGACTTTGGACGAAATTCCATCTAGAATCATGAGTTTTAAAACCCGATATCTAACCCCCTAAATTTTATATTACCCTCTAAGATGATTTTGGATGGTGGTTTTTCATATTTTGAAAGCTTACATGAACAACTTTGAATAACTAATATAATATATTTGCATACCATCAATTGTAAGTCACCAATTTATACTCATACAGTGATACTATATTATTATTATACACTGGTTCTTATTTATAAATGTGAGCTAACGAGTGATAAAAAGAAAGATTTAATTAAGTGGAGATTTTAATATATATATGTCCAATTTGTATATCACATGATCAAATTCATCCAAGTTATATACAAATTAGATAAAAATCACTAAACAAAATCACCTTAGGGGATAATATGAACGATTTTGCAAAGTTTAGGGAGTTGAATTTCTAGTTTTAAAGTTCAGGATGATGGATGGATTTCTATCTAAGGTTTATGGGGGGTATTTGGATTTTCTTCATTTTTCCAATAATGCATTCTAAAAGGGCCCTGACAGAACAAAATGATTCTCTGATAAAATTTCATTTTAATTTTCCTAGATGGAAATCACACGAACCACTGTTTTCAAAGGTTCGATAATACAAGTTGCAAATGCCCACGGTAATACCATTGTCTTCTTCCAATTAATTAATGTCGATCAGTATATAGTCAACTGCATTATATATATGCCTCACGTCTGCAAAAGGGACGTGTGTATTACCTTCTCCCACAGCGCGCACAGTAAGCAGCAACCAACAAGCACGCTGGCACACAGTAGATAGCTAGATGAGATTATTACTTCAATTTATTCGTTGCGCATATAATTAAGAAGAAACCAAGATCATTCTGTACTGCTGCCAATTTATAGCTAGTCAGTCCGGTGTCCATAGACGCAAGCTCTACTGCTGTTGCTCGATCGACCGGTGTTTGCAATTATCATGAGCCTGGTCAAGAAGTAAGTTTTTAATTTGTTCACTTTATTGCCTATTTCATTATCTACAGATTAGTGAAATACTCCTTCCGTCCAAAATAAAAACACACTAATCTCCTTCCGTCCAAAATAAAAACATATAGTATAGATTAATGGACAAAGAGTTTTTCAGATTTGTTGTATTAGTAGGGGTCATATTTCGATTATTTTTTATTTTCGGATGGAGGGAGTACACATTTATGGCATAGTTTAGATCTAAAGTTTGGATACAAACTTCAGTCCTTTACCATCACATCAACCTGTCATATACATACAACTTTTCAGTCACATCATCTCCAATTTTAACCAAAATCCAAACTTTGCGCTGAACTAAACACAGCCTATAGAGAGCGAGATAGCCCGCAAAATTGATCGACTCTATGCCGCTGAATTGACAATCTCATTCCAAGTTTCCCACACGATTTCTGAGGAATTGTCCGTGGTACGGCGTTTTTTGAACCAGAAAAGGTCCGCAAAACGAAGTTAATTAAGACAAACATATAGTACGATCTATATTTTGCTCCAGATCTCCGATGTTTTAGAGAAAATATAGTTTTATATATACTCAATATCGTAATCATATTCTCTTGAGCTATCCCAACGCAATTGTAAAAGCGTGCGTTGCTAATTGCTCTAGGACTGCAGGATTTCTCACATAATTTCACTGATATATCACTACTACGAAACCGGTTTTTGCAAACGGGCGAAAAACATTTTTGTATGTGGTTGGACCAGCCGCATGCATGAAAAGATCAGCGAAAGTCACGATTTTTGCATCCGGCTAGGGCAACCACATGCGAAAATCGCTATTTTCGCATGCGGTTGCTTACATAGGCCGCATGCAAGAATAAAAATCCAAAAAAAATAAAATCGCAAAAAAAAAATCACGTCGGCCGCGCACCGGCGTCGTGCCCTCCGCTCCCACCGTCGTGGGAGCCACCACTGCCCGCTCCCACCGCCGTCCACTCCAGCCATCGGATCTGTGCAGGACAAGGCCCGCCGCCGCCGGATCTGGGTGGGAGGAGGCCCACCGCTGCTGCTCCCACCGGCGTCGTGGAAGCCGCTCCCACCGGCGTCGCCGCTAGCCGCTCCCGCTGCCAGACCTGGGCGGGAGGAGGCCGTGCGCCCGCCGTCGACCGCTATTGCCACCTCCTCCTCCTCCTCGTCGACGGTTGCAGCATCGGGGGGGAATGGAGCCGGTCGCCTTCTCGTCGTTGTCGGCGGCGGCGGTGAGTTGGGGATGGCGGTTGCGCCGCCGCCCACTCACTGGATCCGCCGCCTCCGTTGCGCGCCTGCCGTAGCCATAGCCGGAGCTGGCCCTCCTGAGGGTGGCGCCGCCGGATGCGCTGTCCGTCGACGCCATCGCCGCCCAGCCTGCTCCTGGCCGCCAGCGCCCACTCTCGGAGAGGGAGAGGGAGAGGATAGAAGAAAGAGAGAGAGAGGAGAGGAGAGAAAGAGAGAGGGGAGAGTAAAATAATAGAGGGGTAGAGAGAGGAAATGAGTTAGAAAAAAATTGAAGTGGTGAGAGGGAAAAGAGAGTGGAGGGATATGAAAAAAATAGGGGTGGCATTTTTGCATACGGGTATCTTAAGTGGTCCGCAATTTTACATGCGGACAACTTAAGCGTTCGCATGCAAAAATCATGCGGCTTTCTAAACTTCGAATCGAATTTTATAATACTAAATGAACTCATGTGAAAAAATTGTCAAAAATAAAGCTGCAAAACTCATTGAGATCTGCCAATTTGCTTTTGGTCATTTCTCCATCCGAATTTGATTGCACTATATAAAATTTGAATTTTAAAATATAAGAAATTCAAATAATTTTTCAGCTAGTAAATGATTTCAAACGGAAAAATTGTCAACAATAAAGTTGTATAAAGCATCAAGATCTACAACTTTTGTTTTGGTCATTTTTCTATATGACTTTGTTTCAATAATTTGAATTTGAATTTTAAATTATGACAACTTCAAATAATATTTCAAATACTAAATAATTTCAACTGAAAAAGTCATCAACAACAAAAACAACAAAGTTGTATAAGTCATCAAGACCTATAACTTTTATTTTAGTCATTTCTTCATCCGACAAAGTTATAATAATATTGTTCACCAATTTAACATATATCTCATATGGTTTTATAAATTATAAGAGAGATATGTAAATTTTTTGAACAATGTTACTATCACTTTGTCGGATGAAGAAATGGCTAAAATTAAAATTTTATATCTTGATGAGTTCTACAACTTTTATGTTCATGACTTTTTCAGCTGAAATTATCTACTACTTCAAAATATTATTTGAAGTTGTCATCTTTTTAAATTCAAAATTTTAATTGATAAAACAAAGTCACAAGAAAAAATGGCCAAAATAATAGCATTAAGAACACAATAACATGATAGAGCATGATTTTAAAAATATTTAGGAAAAAACCATCCAATTTGGAGTTCATATGAGTAAGATAAACTAGTTTCAAAATTTCAAATTTTATTTTCGCATATTTTCAAATTTTATTTTCGTATATGGCCCCTTCAGGAAAATCGATTTTTCCATATGGGCGTCTTAAGGAGCCATATGCGAAAATGCCGCTCGATTTTTCCAGACACGGTAAGTTATGGTCCGTTTGCAAATATCGTGAGATCTCGTACACAAAAATCGTTTGTGGACTAGTGTATAGAGCTGTTTTAAAGCGTCAGAACACACGAATTTGTACTCCGTAACTCATTAAGTCATAGGTTAAAAAACACTCATTTGTAGTGTTACAAAGTACTCCCTTTGCCCTATAAAAATCCAATCATGTATATGTCTATATTTAAACGCAGGATTGGGTTTTTACGGAACAAGGGAGTACGTTGTAACTATATTCTTTACAAATGAAAAAAAATAATGCAAAACCATATATGTAGCGCAAACTTAAATATTACTGTAGATTCCAGAAAAGCATGTCTGAGACTTATCAACGTCATTATGAGTACAACAAGTAGGGATACAATTTATAAATAACATAATATCGGAATAAAAAATATTAATTTTTCAGAAAAACACAATCCATCTAGAAACACAATGATGACAAATGACAATAAAAAAGGGAGAAGCAAGAGGGCCGCGAAGGAGCAGGGCGACAGTGGTTGATGTGACATCTAAAAATATAAATAAACATCAAATAGAATCCCAATGATGATTAAGAGGAGGGACGACAGCCAGGACATTAGGCATCTGTTAAGCCGATGGTTGGCGGAACTTCTATAAAGTAAAAAATAAACCACAATGATAATCACCATGATTTTTAAAATCTCAATGACAATAAAAAGGAAGGGCAACAAGTGTAAAAACTATAAACAAAACTCCAAATAAAATACTAGTGATGATTAATAGGAGAGATGACGGGCAACTCGTTAAGCATCACAATCACGGTGGTTGGCGAGACTTTTAGAAAGTAAAAATAAACCACAATATAATCACATTTGATTTTAAAATATTCAATGATAATTAAAAAAAAGTATCGTGCAGGGTGTAGAGGACTTCTAGATGACGGTTTGGCAGGACTTCTATAAAGTTAAAAGTGAACACCGATACTAATTATGTTCGAGTTTCAAAATCTCAATGACGATAAAGAAAGGAAACGGACGGACAGTAGAGGAGTAGAGTGGCGGCATTTGACGGGACTTCTAAAAATTATAAAAATGAAAGCCAACAAGATATTTAACTCTAAAATTTATAAGGTGCAATTTTAAATTTCCAAGGAGGACGAATAGAAGCCGTAATAGATCGAGCATGCAAATAAATGGGTGACAAAGGAGTAAGAGGTAGTGATAGGTGTGACTTTTAAAAACTACAAAATTAGAAATATGGAGATGATAAGGTTCAGTCTTTTAAAGTCCGAAAATAATGAGATAACCATTTAACAAATTTTAAGTGAACTCATATGTAAATAATTTTGTATGGATACTTGTCGTGCGATTGCGTGGGCCACCTAGCTAGTTCTTATTTTATCTTATAGTAATTATCAGGTTTATACTACATATTTTCCCACAAAGAATTCATTTAACACTTGATATGTGTGTATACACCTATAGTAAAACAACCAGTGAATAATACAGAACTGTAGGCAAATAATACAAATAATTTGTAAAATTATGATTGTTTTGTCCCTATCATAATTTGTTACTAAAACCAGACATAGTGGTTAAGTGACTAGACACAGGACCACTACCAAAAAAAAAAAAACCTCATCGGTACTGCCCAAGAAGACCCATCAGTGCTGGTTCCCTGCCTGGCACAACCATTTGGGCACCAATGCACGCCGTTCGGGGTATTTTGCTATGTTAAGATGCCATTCGGACTGATAACCGCAGGGAATATTTTCCAGCGCACGGTCCAGGGCGCACTTAGCGACCAGCTCGGCAACAATGTCGAGGCATACGTCGACGACATCGTTGTCAAGACCAAGACAAGCGACTAATTGATTGACGATCTGCGGGAAACGTTCGACAACCTCCGACGATATCGCCTCATGCTCAATCCAGAGAAGTGCACGTTCGGAGTACCGTCGGGCAAGCTGCTCGGTTTCCTTGTCTCTAGCAGAGGAATAGAAGCAAATCCCGAGAAGATCAAGGCAATCGAGAACATGAAGTCGCCCACAAGACTCAAGGAAGTACAAAAACTAACCGGATGCATGGCAGCACTAAGCAGGTTTGTTGCCAGGATGGGAGAACGAGGACAACCCTTCTTCACTCTGCTGAAGAAGCAAGACAAATTTGTATGGACACAGGAAGCCGAAGAGGCATTCGTTGCACTCAAGCGCTACCTATCAAACCCCCCTGTACTTGTTGCTCCCCAACCTAATGAAGAATTATTCCTCTATATTGCCGCCACGTCATATTCCGTTAGCACCGTCATTGTTGTCGAGAGAGAGAAAGTACAACGACCAGTCTATTACGTCAGCGAAGCTCTCCACGACGCAAAGACAAGATATCCACAGATCCAAAAGCTGCTTTACGCTGTAATCATGACATCAAGGAAGCTACACCACTACTTTCAAGCCCACATAGTCACAGTTGTCTCCTCCTTCCCTCTCAGTGAAGTTGTGAGAAACAAAGACGTTGTCGGCCGCATTGCGAAATGGGTAGTCGAGCTGAAACAACTTCTGACGTGTCATTCAGCCTCAATCGGCCAACTCATAGATTCCCCTCCACCTCAGCACATTTGGTTGCTTCACCAAGCACGGAAAGCCAAAATATGATACCTGTTCCTCATCAAAACTATTACTCTAGGCTCACACAATTTCGTGTCCCGTGCCCTCCGGGAAGAGAGAAAGGACCAAAGGAGGAGAGGCATCCACACCACCGAGCTCGTCGAAAAGAGAGAGAAAGAGGACCGGGCTAGCGCTGGCGACACAGCCACCGCGGACAAGAACCGGAAGGGGTGAAGAAGGGAGGAGGGGGAAAGGGGAGCTCGACGTCGATCCACGCCGCCGCTTAAGCCTCACCGCCGCCGCCATTGTTGGGGGTGGAGGAGAGGGCGCCGACGAAGACAGGAGGGGGGAGAGGGAGAGGAGCTCTCGGTCAACCCGTGGTGCCGGTGGAAGAGGAGGAGGGGAGGCGCGGCAGCCGGATGAGGAGGGGAGGCACAGCGGAGGTGGTGCTCCACCCCCGACGGCGCCGGCTAACCTCGTCGTCCAACGCTACTGTGCCGCCGAGCTCCGGTGAGGAGGAGGGGGGTGGTGTGCCGGCGAGCACTAGGCCCCACCGCCTGGCTCTCTATGGTAGGGAAAACTGGGAAAGGAAGAGGGGAGAGAGGGGGAGGGGAAAAGTGAAAAGTAAAGTAGTAGTGGTGGGACCCACTATAAACATCTTGCATTGTAGAACATGTGGCTAACATTGTTTTTGGTCTAGGTGGCATGCGAAGTCCACCAAAGCTTCGTGACACACTATGAAAGCCCTTAGTACCGGTTTAGAAATTGGCATTGATGCGCATGTACGAGCAAAAAAGAATATGAAGCGGCGGCTCCAAGAATCGGCTCTAGCCGATTCTTCGAGCCCGCCCCCATGATCCACGTTTTCAAATTCATATCCCTTAATCAATCCCCTTCGACAACAAGAACACTCAATCCCAGATTGATCAACCGGAAGATTAACTATAAATCAATCACAAGCAAGAACATGAAGAGGGTCTGGACATTCCTCAAACAAGAGTGAAAAATTATAAATATTAATTTATAAAGGTGAGGCTGAGGATCTGTACACCGGAGAAAAAGAGGGCAACAACTGCTAGTCTGCTACCACCTCTCCCTAGGGTTTATCTTATCGTTTGGGCCGGGGTTACCGTCACTCCGTGGTAGCTCGATAACTGTGATAATCACGCGGTGACCGCCTATAATCGCACAAAAATCACTTCCAAAAAATTGAATTCAAAACTCTATGGTTTCGCGGTTTCACCGCGGTTACCGCACGGTTTACCGCGATATGTGGGATGTGGGATTTGAACTCAAGATCTCTCACCTCAGGCCTCACGCGTGTTGCCATCATACCTACTACACACATCTAGCTTGGATAAGATACTTTGTTTTTTAATTAACCCTGAAGACATCTTTAGTACTAGTTAGTAACACCAATCGGTACTAAAATATCTTAAGTTCAGATTGATGTTACAGTGCTGGTTGGTAACACCAACCCGAACTAAAGATCCTCTAGCTTTAGTCTCGGTTGGTGTGTTAACAACCGGTGCTAAAAATGTTTCTAGGGACTTATACTTTTAGAACTGGTAGTAAAGCATCTTTAGCACTGTTTTTTAATCTAATCAAGATATTTGTGTTTTGGGGGTGTAGGATATAAAAGATCATTTCTCTAGTACTTGTGTATGTATGTTTTTTTTTTGACATATTTTCTATTCAAATTTGTAGTATTAGAATGTATATTTGTTTAGATTTATGATATTAGGATGTGACTTATTTTATACTAGGTTGGTTTATTTTGAGATTGAGAGAATTAATATATTAGTATATGATATGCATTGTTTTAGTACTTGTTACACTAATTAAAATTCCTCGACCGAACGAAATCGGCGTGGCAAAATAATCTTGGCTAGCTAAGTAATAAATCGGAGGATGGAGAGAACAGTCGTCGTTGAGAATGTGGACTACAATATCATGACAAGCAACTACAGTGATTTCATCATCGACCTCCAAAGCAGGCTCGCTGAGCATCCAGAACAGGCTAACTTCCACGGCCGTCCCGTGCTAGCAAGGCAATGCCATCCTAAACAGCCGGCGAGATGGTTGTACATTAACCTTGTGGGCGAGAACAACGATAGGGCAACCCTAGCCGTCCGGGATGACAATGTCTACCTTATTGGCTTCAGGAACCTGAACGGAAAATGGTTCCATTTGGGGTTCTCGCTGAGGAGCGTTCCGATTCTTCCGGAACCATCCACGTTTTTGGAGTGCGACGTCACTTATCGAAGCTTACTTGGTGGAAATGTGAAAGATGTTCTGGTGAGGGTGGACGTGCGGAAGATTTCTGTGATACATGCCGTCCATAGACTATCGGGCTACGCGCAGCGTCGATGTGGAGTCGATGGAGCCACCAAACGGGATCTAGCACGCCTGATTGTCGTGATCTGCGAGTCTGCTAGGATGGCTGCACACTACAACACGGTAAACGATGGTTGGCTCATTCGCAACAGGCAAATTAGACTCGACCTTTGGCACGTGGATTACCTGTGGAACTGGGGGCTTATGTCGTGGGTGGTGCAGCAGCAGGGAGGGAAGATGTGGCCCATCAGGCTTATAAACTCCGGAATCAACAGCATAAGTGAGGCGCTCGCAGTACTCCAACTGCTGCTTAACACGGCGAGAAGGCCTTTGCCAGATCTACCACGAGCTTCACCGCCGCCGCCAGTGCTCTATCTGCCACGTCAGGCGGCACCGGCAGTACCCTGCCCACCGGCGCCTCCGTTATGGTTGCCATCGCCATCGGTGCCGTCGTCATTGGCGTTACATGTGCCCCTCTTTCATGCGTCCTCCTTAGAAAGATGGAGTCCTACAGCATTAGCTATGGCGCCGCCGTCATTGCCGTTACGTGTGCCGTTCTTTCATGCGTCCTCCGTAGAAGAAAAGACTCCTGCAGCATCAACTGATGGCGACGAAGGATCTACCGTCGACTACTGTGTTGGACGCTTATTAGTGGAGGTGTTGGCCGTGTGGTCCAGCTTTGACAGCTGTACCATCGCAGTATTTGACGGGAAACGCGGCCAGATCATCTACGAGAACCACCGAGGAGATCACGATGGCATCCACGATTCTCAGGTAAGGAGGACGGAGTATATATATATGGACTCTCTCCGTCCCATAATATAAAAGATTTTGGGTGGATATAACATTCGTACATTGAATTTTAACAGATCGTCTATTTAGATTTATTATACCAAGATATGTTACATCCATCTAAAATTTTTTATATTATAAAACGGAGGGAGTACGTTTCTAGCTATAGTCTTACCGTTACTTCTTGTGAAAATGAAAGATGGCACATTCGTGGATGTGCATATACTACTCCAGCCAGTACTTCTCTCTGTCCTAAAATACAATAATTTGAAACTGGATTGAACATATTTTAGTCGTAGGTTGTATTTTTTTTAGAATTAAATAGTACAAAGCAGACACTCACAACGCACGCACACTCACGAATTTGAAAAGCTTATAAGGGTGGTATACTAACCGAATAATACCTATTGGATTTTAAAAGTACGATTTCTTCATGAATTTTATCCGTTAGCGTTGCATGATAAATTTAATTTTGTCATTTATAGAATTACCTGCTGGAGATTGGGTTCAAAAATTATGGTATCTAGGGCAGCTGACTCTTGAAGTTCCATTAGAAAAATAGAAAAATAGAGAAAACTTATATTGCTATAAAAGACATTAGATATATAACCATATATAAATTAAATTACGCCTGCTTTTTTCTTTATCAGAATTTTTAGAATTTTCTTTAACTTGTTAAGAGAATATTTAGGAGCATTAATCACATATTTGATTTAATTTTAAATTTTTTTTGTGTTGTTTATCAATCATAAAATCCAGGTACTATTTCTTACTTCGTGCATGCATGCCTGCCGGGCATATGTAAATTCTGGTCTATGCAACTGCAAGCTTGTCACACAGAGACATAATTAACCCTAACGTGGTATTTGCCTATTTGATGGGGTCACGTCATGTAACTGGATTGGGATGACCAATTTTAAATTTTTTTTGTGTTGTTTATCAATCATAAAATTCAGGGACTATTTCTTACGTCCATGCCTATATGCCTGCCGGACATATGTAATTTCTGGTCTATGCAACTACAAGCTATGCAACTGCAAGCTTGTCACACAGAGGCATAATTAACCCTAATTTGGTAGTATTTGCCTATTTGATGGGGTCACGTCATGTAGGACATGGGTGGATAGGACATGGCGGCCCATTTTTTGTGGGTGTTTGGTTGCTGGGCAGGGGTGGGATGGGGCGGCCCGAAGAGGAATATTCTCCTCAGATGCTGGATGGGGGGATCCGACCGATTTGCCCGGATCCAGCCGCCCGAGCGCCCGGGCAAGCTAGGCAAGCGAGGGAGGCGGTCGCGTCACCCGCGAGCGAGGGAGGGAGGCGGTCGCCGGGCGAGCTGGCCGGCAGGATGCGGGCACGGTGGCCGGCGCGGGTGCGGCAACGGGAAGCGGGAGCGGCGGCAGCAAGGAGAAGAGGGGGTGGCGGTGAGCCCGAAGGCGGCAGCAGCGGGAGGAGGGAAGGAGACGACGGCGGCAATGCGAGTTCGGCGGCGGCGGGAGGCAAGCTCGGCAGCGGCGCGGGATGCGAGCTCGTCGGCGGCGGGAGGCGAGCTCGGCAGCGACGCCAGATGCGAGCTTAGCAGTGGCGGGAAGAGGAGCGACGGTGAGCCCGGAGGCGGCGGGAGCAGCGAGCTCGGCGGAGGCACCGGAGGCCTTCTCTTTTTTTTTTCCTATCTCCTTCTCTCTCTTTTTTTTTTGGGGGAATTTGTGATTTGTAGTATATATGAATTTGATGAGGGGGGTATGCTCACCCTTTCTAAGTGAGAGGTGACCACACCTGCTCATCCACCTACTTCCTCCAACCAAACAAAAAATTGGATCACCAAATCCATCTTCATCCCTACAACCAAATAAAAAACTGGATCGCCATATTTACCCAATCAAACAAAAAACTGAATCGCCCTATCCAACAAAATATGGTCCGCCATATCCCATCCAACCTATCCAATCTTGACCGTGAACCAAACACACCCTAGCTGGATTCGGATGACCGGGGTAGGCCCGAGCACGGGAGAGGAGGGTGGGCCTGGGATGACACCTTTGACTTTTTATGTATATGTTTCATCATCCGTCTCAATTTTAAAAAATATATGTGATTAATTTTTTTTCGGGGAATGTGATTAATTTATAGATGAACTATTTTTTTCATATTTATATAAAATGTTTGAATGAGATGGATGGTCAAATATATATAGAAAAGTTAAAGTTCACGGTGTCAATCTATTAAAATCGGAGGAAGTAATAAAATGTATAATGTGCAGGTATAGGGATCACACTATTTTTTTATTTGACAATAAATCATAGTCCATGTGCACCTTAAATAATTGATTGAAATGTCATGATATAAAAAAAAGACTAATCATCAAACAACTCAACTTATAAAAAGTTATTCCTAGACGATCACACATATATTAGCTCATGTCTCCACATGCATGTAGGCTTGCATGAGACACCCGTAACTGGGAGATTAGGCTATCTATCCATGGAATTTTTATTTAAAATCAGTAACAAAATAATGATTTAGATCTTAACCACCGTGGAGAAAAAAAGGGGAGGGAGGAGAGACGCATACACAGGCGCGTGAGGGGAGGCGAGGGCAACGACGCCGTACAACATTGGACCCACACATTCAAGGAAAAATCATACGTGGCAGTCTGAGAGCGTTTTTAAATCGCCATATGGTCGTTTGAGAGCGTTTTTAGAAAGTTTAATGGAAGAAAAATCATATGTGGCAGTCTGAGAGCGTTTTTAGATCGCCATGTGGCCGCTTGAGAGCGTTTTTAGGAAGTTTAATAGACTTTTAGTATATAATAGAAGATAAATTTAGATTCGTTGGATTAGGATATGTCTTATCCAATTATAGATTGTTATATTTTAGTACGGAGGCAGTATATGTGTAGTTGTGTGCACACGTGTGTGTATTAGAAAAGTACTTGTTGATTGACTGAAACTCTGAAGGTGCTATATATACAGGGTAATTTGATGCTGACTGGACCGTACAGGGCCATCTCAGCCGACGGGAGCTTCCTGATCGAAGTTCATACCAACAATGCTGGCGATGTTGATGGTACGCTGTTTTGGGACTGCTACGACGACCGCAACGACCATGAGCACGACATAACATTGACTAACACCATCAACACAAGCCTTGGCCCCGTTGAGGTGACCTACGCGGTGCTGACCGACGCAGTGGAGGCCACCGTGCAGGTCAAGCTGCTGCATGCTTCTCGCCGGATACAGCACCGCCACGCGGTCGCTGCCACCATCTTCGTCTACGGTGATATCACCGCGCGCAGCGAATGCTTCAGCGTCGGGAGCGTGCTCTTCAGCCGTGGCTCGCAGAACAAGGTGGCGCTCACCTCGGGCTCCACCCTTCTTCCACTGTCGCGATGCGTTGTTGCGGTGCCACTTAACGACCAGGTCGAGATAGAGGTGAAGCTGTATGTTGGAACTTCCAGCGAAGAGAGTATCAATTACACTTTTATCCATCGTATTCTCGTGTTCTACTCGGGCGGTGAACAGCTGGCACAACAAATATTCCTCCATGGCAACCCAGCGATTGAAGTCACTTGGACACCGTACTTCTGAAGGCAAGTTGAACTATCAACCTACTTCAAATTAACGTTGTATGTTCCTTCTTAATTACATTTTTTGGACTCATATATTAGATTGACCATATATATCATATATCTTCCAATATTTAATTTTACAGCGAGTGCTAAACAGCATAAGTTGACAAGGAGATTAATTATCTGCAGTTACAACTACTACAGTGGCTGCAAGGACAGCCAACTGCATCCATCCAGAAAATATGTTGGGTCGGTATATATCTAGATATCTCTCAATTACTCTACATGACTATGTGTTCCAGTAAATAAGGCTCTTTACATAAACGGAATTGTTTAAATACGACGATTTCAGTAAAGAAGCAGGTTAGTGTGTGCTCTATATATGATCTGTACTAGTACAATATATACTATGTGCTCCTATACGTTCTGTGATTTGTCCAAGATATTTATCATACAGGTGATTAATTGTGTGTCAGTGTGTGGTTGTGAACTCATATTGTACTAGCCACTTAGTCGTGCGTTGCACGACTTTGAATTCCCATATGAAAGCCATGTATATATACATCGTAATTAAATCAAAATCACCAATGATGAGCGAATTAAACTCATTAAGATGAGACTGAATAGATTTACCTTCTGCCATGCGAATTGTGTACGGGTGTTATTTGAGGCATAATTTGTTGGCGAGACTTTTCTTCATGTATATAAAAGGCAGGTGTATAATCATGAAATTATATGCTTGAAATTTGAATATTTGCAAGATTGTATGACATGATAATTAAATCTAGAAAGACCTTTATTTCCAACTAAAAGGTTCAAACGTTATATTCAAAATTGACCGTTTACTGTTGGTTCCAATAAAAAAATGCTCATTTTATGCTCATACTACTGAAGTGCTTGTTGAGTTCCTAGTATGTTTTTATGAGCTGGGGTAAAAGAATTAGGCAAGCACAGCATCTGGCCCCTCGTTGGCTTCTTCCCGATGTCTCTAGACTGTTTGCTCTTTTTGTACTGAGCTTCTTTCACTAGATCGTACGGCATGGACTGAATTTCTGTTGCATCCAACGGCTCACATTAAGCAGATCCGACGGTGGTCGTTTACCAGCAGTTGTATCGGACGGTCCCTGTTTTATGGATGACGTGGCCCAACCAGATTGCAAGAAACTTTATTTCTTTCAATACTTTAGATCCCTCGAATAGTTTGATTGTTAACTATAATATACAAGTATGTGACTATTGATTGTCGAAGCTGCTCCTGTTTAATTTTTACATTAATGAAAATGGATTACATCTCCAGCTTCTGTTATGACACACAACCATAAATTTTATAGTAATAAAAAAAGGTAAAGATAAAAGTAAATCAAAATGAGAAATAAAGTGATGGGACAAATCTCCAACTCCCCTTTACTATTGACTAGCGTTAAATCACATAAATTTTTTTAGTTAGCAATTATAATGGAACTACATCACCCATAGTGGAATAATAGACCCTTGGCTACCGATTCGAAGAGTGTAGCACCATTGCGCATAGTATCCTGCTCCTCCTGTGGTAGCATTTTAGACCAAAAGTGGAGCCAGTAAGAAGACATTAAGATAACCTGCATAGGGTTAGATAATTGGTTACCATTAAAAACTTTATCATTACGACAACGCCAAATTGACCAACATACAACACTAGCTTGGAAATGCTACTGGGCGAGCGATTGCCCTCGCCCGCCCAGGGCGATCAGATCCCCCTCCTCCTCCCCCTCCCTCCCTCCACCTGGTTTCCTTTTTTGGCGCCGTATTACTTTCCTATTTTAGTAAATTTATACACCTAAAGTTTATACACCTCAAGTTTACACATCTAAAGTTTAGAGACCAAAAGTTTATATATCCGATTCAAATTTGAATTTGAATTCAAATATTTTTTATATATAGTATTTCTATACATCTAAAGTTTATACACCTAAAATTTGTAGACTTAAAGTTTATAGACCTAAAGTTTATATATCCGATTCGAATTTGAATTCAAATATCCGATTCAAATTTGAATTTGAATTCAAATATTTTTTGTATATAGTATTTCTATACATCTAAAGTTTATACACCTAAAGTTTATAGATCCAAAGTTTATAAGTCAAAAGTTTACATACCCGATTCAAATTTGAATTTGAATTCAAATTTTTTATACATAATTTTTTCTAACTTTTGTTTTTTTAAAAAAATTTTGTGGTGTACTGTAATAGGAAGAGAAGAAGGGGAGGAGGAAGGGGAGAAGTGGGAGGAGTGGCTATAGGGGGAGGGGGGCGGGATCCGATCGTTGGGCGATCGCCCTGGCAATCGATCGCCCAATAGACCCCTCCGCACTAGCTCCTATTAGAATAATCTTTTTAATGGACCTAGATACCCCTCTAAGCCAATTACCAAAAATATTTTTGGCGTCACGGGGTGGAGGGATATTAAAGCAAAAAACACACATCTCTAAACAAACCGAGCAACATGACACTAAAAAAAAGATGTTGGATTGTCTTTTGTGCATAGTAGAATGAACAATGTTTGTCCCCAAGTTTTATTTTTGCCAGGTTATCTTTCGCTAGAACTACTTTCTTGTGAAGAAACTACATAAAGACCTTGATCTTTAGTGAAATTTTTAAGTCCCACTAGAATTTACAGTTCATGATCGCGCCATACATAGATTTGATTAAAATTTGGCCATTCTTATGGAACGACCATACAAAACAGTCCTTTTCATTTGACAGAATAATATTAGCTAGCCTGAGGATCAAATCGTTCCACTCGACGCGCGCGCTGCCGCTGCTGCACTTCACCCTCTCGCTGCTCGCCGGCGAGGACCTCCTCTTCTTGACCGCCCTCCGCACCCACCACTCCACCACGTCGTCGCCGCCCGCCGTCTCCCTCTCCCGCTTTGTCTCATATGGTTCAATAGAACCTAGAAGATGAGCGAGGGTCATTCAGTAAAGTATCTTTTTCAAATGGTAAAAAATGATAAGAGCACCACTAATAGTGATTAACAAATTGCTCTACTTTGGAGTGCTCTCAGATGAGTAGCTACAGTAAATGGTCATGAGAGCACTACCAAGGGAAGTCCAACCATGAGATTGTTACTTGGATCTCATCACCACCCATTCCAATAACACGTTGTACATGTTGATCACTAGTCTAAGGTTCAAATTCGACGGCAGCTCTGACAATCTCATCACCGGAAAAAGAACGCAAGTCCAAATCGATCGTCAACAGCATCATATATAGCTGGTTCTGCGAACGCACGCCCTGCCAATGGGATCAAGTAGAGATGGCAATGGGGGCCCGTTCACCGTTTCCCCGCGGTGAATTCACCTATTAGGTGACGGGGATGGTTAATATCTACTCACCATGGGGAATAAAATGGTTAAAACCCTCTCACCATCGGGGATGACGGGGACGGTGAACCATTAACCGTCCCCGCCCCCCACGGTGACCCGACTGTACTGTACAAGGGAGGAATTCTAGACTTTTTAGATGTATTGACCCACAATATTGAAGCCCATTTAACAGGCACATATATAATCTAACCCTAAGTCAATAGGTCAAACTCCAAATCCTCCACCCACCCAAATCCACACCAGCCACCACTCCCGGCCGAGTCACGCGCGCCGCCGGTCGCCAGTCCGCCGGGAGCCGCGCGCGCCGCCGTTCGCCAGCCACCACCGACGCCGCCGGGAGCCACCACGCATGCCACCACTCGCTGCCTTCTCTCGCCGGGAGACTGAAGCCGCCGTCGCCATGGACTGAAGCCGTCGTTGCTGGCCTCCTTCGTCGATGCGCCGCCGGGCCTGCAGCCGTCTTCACCGGGAGCCGCCGGCAGCCTCCGTCGACGCGCCGCCAGCCTGCAGCCGTCTTCACCGGGAGCCGTCGTCGGCGCGCCGCCGAGAGCCGCCGTCGCCGCCGCCATCTGTCGACCATGGCTTCGGCCTCTCCCCCGTAAGCTACGACAGCGACGATGCAAGGTGAGCATACTACAATCCCTAATCCCTTCTCTGTGCGGGGACGGGTTCACCACGAGGAAAAATTCACCGCGTGGTGATCAGGGATGGAGAAATTATAGCCCCGTCGTGGTTGACGGGGGCGGGGACGGTGAAATATTTTCACCACGGTGACGGGGACGCAAGCATGACCCCCGACGGTGAATTCACCGTTGCCATCTCTAGGATCAACCCGTTCGATCCTATATGTGTGCCGCTACTTAAGTCGCTGTAGAACAGGACGCAACCAACATCGAGAAGCTTGTTGCGTGCGACAATCCTCCCAAGAACGCCGGTGCTTGCAATGGAGTCTGTTGGCAACTTTTTGTGACAAGTTAACAAGCACAATCACAACACTGTACCTAAACGCCTTACGGTGATTGTAGAGTCACCAACCACCCTAACCCAGCAAGCACTAGGTCAAGATGGGTTTTGATAGATTAAACCAGCTAGCAGAGCCGATTTAGATGAAAACTAGGGATAACTATCCATCTCGTAGGCAAATGGAAGGTTTTCAGAACAAACCTACAAAGAGGTGTCGCACTCTCACAGCGGCAGTGGATAATTTACAACGCAAATCGACAAAGATAGACGAACTAAACTAGAACTAATTGAAAGTAAAAAAGCAATATTGAAAAAAACGATTCTATTGATTGATCGTTGGATAGATTACAATTGAACCGGCCTTGTCCCTTATATAGGGGTTGATCTTACCCTCTACAGGCTCTCCTCCACGTCCAACTCGGGATAGAAACCAAAAGAAATCCGAAACATGCCTTCCCAAGCAAGAAAAATTCGAGACCCGACAAAACAGACTCGGGCTCGGACTCTGCCGGTCAGACCAGCCACATGTCGGCGGTCTGACCGGAGTTCAGGCCACGGTCTGACCGGCCTATACACGGCGGTCAGATCGGCCTGCTAGAGGAAAACACCGTTGGATCCCAAACTTTGGCAATTATTCCTATTTCAATCCTAGGTGCTAAATTTGGGTGTAAACACATACCCCCTACCTTTTTGGTGAACAACGTGAACCTGAAGGCATAGAACATGTTGTCTTAGGGTGATAATCCAATTACCGGCCATAGAACTTTCTAAATATCTTGCCAAACACTCGGGAAGTATTTCTTCAAGTAGTTCCCATTGACTGCTCTCTGAAAACGCTCTCCATGAAGTGTCTCCAAAAAATACGCGTTCCCTGAACAATCCCGCATACTCGATAAGGACATTCCCAACTAGGAGACCAATTACCGAACTCCTTAGATCGAGTACCCTCTCCCACTTGAAACAATTTTGCTTTCACCCTTTTGTTGTATGCTTTAGCCACTCTCTTCTTCTCTTTCTCTATTTCTTCCAAAGCCTTTAAACGTTTGTTGATAACATCATCAAGATTATCCCTATCAAGGTCTTGTAGTCTCCACTCAACAAATCGTCTTGCTTGATATACCGAAGAGAGTCAAGATTTACCTCGACCGACAAAACGGCTTCATATACATAAATCAACTCAAAAGGAGTGACCTTAGTAGCACCATGTTTAGATATCCTATGCGCCCATAATGCTTCAGAAAGCACCTTATGCCACTTATTTGGGTGTTCTTCAATCTTCTTTTTGACTAATTTCAACAATGTTTTATTACTCGATTCAGCTTGTCCATTAGCCTGAGCGTAGTAAGGAGAAGAACTCAACAATTTAATACCGTAAGATTCGGCAAAATTCTTCACTTCCTTAGACATAAAAGAAGCTTAAAGGTATAAATTCGTAATTACAACTTAAAATAAGGACAAGAAAACAATTACCCTTTAAAAAACTTAATTTAATAGTGGACCATAAAAAAAACCTTATTTCAAAAATTCGACTGTAACCTCAATACTAAGTCCGAAGATGATGAGATCTAACAACTAAACGTTGCATAGGGCAGCAACCTCTCTGCCGCCATGCTGCCCTAGTGAGTTGGTGGCCACCGTGAAAAGGGGGTCAACACTCAACATCAAGAGTTTTGGCGCGGACCTCCCAACCTCAACGCCAGTGATTCTAGCGATGAAGTAAAGGATTTTTTTTATTAGAAGTTCTAGATCTCAACAATGCTATGACTGCACTAGATGTGATGAGGCTAGACAATAACAACGGTGGTGTGTAGAATAGCAATGAGTTAGTAGCGGTACGGGAGTCTGGTGACGCTAAAACTCGAGTTGGATGACATCATATTATCTACTCCCGCCGGTTTGATAATACTTATCGTATTGGACAAGAGCATAGTTTTCAAAAAATAATTTTGACCATTATTTTTTATTATAACATGTATAAATCGTTAACAAATATATGATTTTATTAAAATACTTTTTAAGACTAATATATATGTAGTCACCATATTTAAAAGATAAATATTTAAAAAATGATTTATAATCAAAGATTCGAAAGTTTGACCTCACTCTTGTTCAAAAGGACAAGTATTATCAGTCTGGAGAGAGTAGATGTTGTAGTCATTTTGAGCTCATGATCAAGGCCCCTATCTCATTGCTAGGTCCATTTGATGCTGAGGTTATTTGAAGACACTAACCACCCGCCATGTTGATCCACCAGATCAGACTCGTACCCATGGCGGTAGGGAAGTCACACTACTAGAAAATCAATTTTTCACGCGTTTGAAAAATATTTTTCATGGCGGCTAAGTGGAAAAACCGCCAGCGCAAAAAATCGTGGGGGTGAGAGGTCAAGGGCCGCCAGTGGAAACACATCTTCGCTAGCGGTTAACTTAAGACGGCCGCCAGCGAAGATAGGATATCTTCTCTGGCGACTCTCTTAAGTTGACGCCAGCGAAGATATGGTAACTTCGCTGGCGGTAAGGGGACATGGCCCGCCAGCGAAGATACCTACATCTTCGCTGGCGGCCCTCTTAACTTAACTCCAGCGAAGATGCCATATATATCTTCGCTGGCGGTGTGGTGACGTGGACCGCCAGCGAAGATACCTACATCTTCGCTGGCGGCCTTCTTAACCCTCCGCCACCTCAAATTATTTTCAATGGCGGTTCAAACGAACCGACATATGACGACCGTCAGGAAAAATGCGCTGAACTATATCACCCAGCTACAGTAACTTCGAGCACCATTAGGAGCACGATTTTCTCTATGCGCAGATCAACATTTTCACTGGCCTTTGCTTTATGACGGCTGCGATTTCCGCCAACGAAAACCCAAAATAGCTGCCACGAAAGATGATTTCTATAATAGTGTTTAGTGCTAGTCTCGTTGGCATTGAAATGGTGAAGCTCAGTGTTACTTGGCATTTTAGGTTGAGGTTTACTTTTAAAACATTTAAATAAGCTTTTAGCACGCGGTCCGTTTTTAAAATACGTACGTTTCTTGAAGGATTAGATTTCCTTTTTTTTTCTACTCCTGTTTCGTCCAACCTTGCATTGCACTCGATCTTGGTAACCATTTACTTCACTATACAAATCCTGCTGTTTATATAAATCGAGGTGCCCGTGGAAACTGATCTGTAAGCGTCTGTCTATTTCCGGTGCAGCGCGGACAGCGCCAGCGCCAACTGTTTATTTATTGGTTCGCTGGTGACCTGGTGTCAACGTACCCCGGGCAGCCAATTAACCACCCCTTGTCAAGGAGGTAGAGTAATTAAGAGCCATATGACAGTCTCTCTTACAGTCTGATGATCTCAATATCACACGAATTATACTGACCAAGGACAATATTTATATGATGGATTGAGATGTTTGCATTAAACATGTGAATATATACTGCTTACCGTATGGCTTACCGTGTAATTCTTAATGTGGTTTGACTTCTTCTATGCCTTTTGTCAACTAAACTTACAGCAAAATCGAAATGTCACAGCAAGGAGACCGGCCGGAAAGCAATCTGAATGCATGCTTTTCACAAGTCACGACCAGGCCGTGAAAACTACGGCTAGGCTGACCTGAGGTCAACCTTTCTTTTTTTCTACGTTGGATATTATATAGTACTTCCTTCGTCCCACTGAAATGATACTAATTCGATTGATTTGTTACGCCTATAAATTACCAACAGATCGTGCCTGCAACTCTGCAACTGTCATACTGTACCTCTTAGTTTGCGAAGCTAGCAAGTCTGGTGTCCTTGGACGCAATTAGTTGTTGTTTGATCGACCAATCGATCGAATACCGTCATCCGAGCAGTAAGCACCACTTCTTCGTTCAGCTATATTACCCGTTTGATTATCTTAGTTCTCTTTTCGGTCATAAATACTTGAATTTCAATTTGAGCCAGCTTTAATAGGCAAAGTTTCAGCATGAACTAGGACCATGCATGTATAGTTACCCTCCTTTGCACTTTGGACCATGTTCCATCCATTTAACAAAATGGCACTTAACTCACTGCATAAAATACATGCAGGTAAAATGATTTAGACAAAGTACCAAAAGTTACCAAGATATATAATTATTGAATACAAAATGTCACATATTTATGAACTGATGGACTATACAAAATTATTAAAGGAGTAACATGTTAACAGGCCCCCTTTTCTCCAAGCAACAACTAGCATTATAGCAATCAAGTATTTTGGCGGAAGAAGAAGAAAATGGGAGATAAGAAGTTTCTGTGAGTTTCTAGAAACTAGGGAAAGGGTTGGAGGTAGGAGGAAAGGAAGATCAAGTTAATTTCAAGCCTTCCCCGTTGCCATTCTGCATCTGTTGTTTGATCCCCTTAAAAAAACCGTTGTTGCTTTTGTTATCTGCCTTGGGCTAGCTTTAGTGAATTGTTGTAACGACCATTTGGGAGCCCATCCGGTCCTAACAATCCCCTCTCTTCGAAATTCAGCTTGTCCTCAAGCCAGTAAAGTGAATCCTCTTAGATCCCATGGTTGTCCAAGATCCTTCTGGCTAGACATAAAACAATAATTGGAATTAATTGAACAGGACAATTATTTTCACCCCATATAACTTCGTAGTCCATTTAAATTCTCCATGTATGATGAACGATAGCAGCACTGCAATGAATTGCTGTTGAACAGTGAGCTCCAACAACATGTCCAGGAGTGTGCTCATCTCTCAGGATTCTCATTTCACCAGCTCTAGCAACACCACGTCTCATCTATTTATTGATAGTGTCGAAACTCAATTGATCTCCTTGAGAAGGCTAATCCCTACATGCGAATTGGAGAACACGAACAAGAACAAAAAAGATGACAACTCAATTGCAGATGAATGATTTATAAAGAACTCGAAGTTGGGTTTCCACAAACCGATGAACGGCAAAATTGCAATAACAAAAATAATCTAAGCAAAACCTAACCCTAACTCGATGATTAATACTAAATATATAGATTCTAGGGTCAACCTTGGACCCATTGATGTGTCCCCATTGTACTCCAACACGATACACAGCCCAACGGGCCCACCTGGACAGATTCTAGATGCCTTCTTGTTTCAACAAATCATGTTGACTCAGAAGGAATTTAACGTGGGACCAGATCCATTGGAAATGTGCTCTCGTTGGCTTTCCATGCATACGTGGACTTTCGAAAACAGAGTCCGAATGCAATCTAGGCTACAATTTTAGTGTTGACTGCTCCTGGAGTCTGAGGTGGACTCGATATGAGCCCAAAATTGCCTATTACCCCTGTTGGAAATTTGGTCATAATTCTGCATATTTTAATCCAAAATAATAAGATAATAAACATGATATTCGGAATGGGATTTGATCCAGTGATAGTGGTAAATATAATCAACATGAGCATGCTTAATATAGAATAAGCATCAACAATCACATAGTAACGCAATGCTGACATTGCGATTAACAGTAAAAATTCTAATTGAATAGAGAGAATGGAAGTATACCCCAAGAATGGTCCTCCACTAGATGGTGAGACATTATAATGGGTATACAGTGTCTTCGGTATTCACAGACCCTAAGGCGGCCTTCTTGGGCCAGCCCACTAGTTGGCGAAGGGCCTCTATGGGCCGCTGGGCCTCCCAAGCCTTTAGCCAAAGGCATTCCCTATTCCAGGCGATGGCCTTATGCTTCGCACAACAGCCTTCGCCCGCGATGGATCTTCGGTTGATTGGCAGGCTAGGAGGCGAACCCTTCGGTCTTCATTCCATGGCTTCGCCCTGGCATGATGGCGAACCATTTGGTCTTCGTCATTCGGCTTCGCCCCTTGGTGTTCGTTTGGGACTTAGCCAATGCTAGATGGTTTGAATGGTTTCGGCAGGTTGGCTGAAGGCCCTCGTGACATACCTCCAACAGGAGCTAATTCAGGGCTAAAAGGTGGGGGTTAATAATTAGCCCATGGAACCAAACAGGGCCCTGGTGGCCCGCACACGAAAAGAAATTAATGATTCTATAAAGTGAAGTTGGAGATACCTTTTAGAGCGAGTTTAATGTATAGCTAACTTCTAACCTTAAGTCAGCTATAATCAATCTAGTAGTCTTCATGCTATAGTTAAGTACCTATAAATATATATATCACACCATTAATATTTGGTCCCACCTTTCATACACACATAGTGTATTGGAGTTTGTGCTGCAGTTAGCTACAATTATGTAGCCCACTTTCCTTTCTCTCTTCTCCCTTATCTCATCCACATGTGTTTATAAGACAATCTTATCTCATCCACATGTGTTTATATGTCTTATAGCCTGCTATTGTAATTGCTCTTACTTAATATTCTCCTTTTAGCTTATTTTTTATAACATGTGGATACAAGTTAGATATAAGTGCTCACTTTAAGATTAAATTAACTTGGACGCCCTAATGTAGGTGAGTGGATATTATGTGTTAAAACTAAAAAAATAAGTGAAATCTATTAACTTATTAAGTGTTCGCTCTCGTGACCTAGAAAATTCTCATATTAATCGGAGAAAAAAAACAGAGTCCATATTGGAATACAATTTTAAAATAGCTGAAATTTGGAATTAAAAATAAGAAATATTGTTAGAGAAGACTACAGTCCATACTTGTATACAGTAGAACTAATGGAAATTCGGAATTAAAAAAGAAAATTAAAGTAGATGTTACAGTCCATATAGGAATACAAATAGAAATAACAAAAAATTGAAATTAAACAAATAAAGAATATTGGAATAAGAATATAGAGTCCATATAGAAATACAATTTATAAATAACTGAAATTCAAAATTAAAAAAAGAAATATAGAAAGATAAGTTTAGAGTCCATATAGAAATACAATTTAGAAATAATATTATTTTAATTAAAATAAGAAATATTGGAAGAAGAGTATAGCGTCCATATAGGAATTTAGAACTAATTAAAATTCTGAATAAAAATAATAAAATTAAAAGAAGATTTTAGAGTACATATAGAAATATAATTTACAAATAACTAAAATCAGCAATTAAGAAGGGAATATTGGAATACAATTTAGGAGTAACTGAAATTTAAAATTAAAAATAAATAATATTGAAAGATAAGTTTAGAGTCCATATAGAAGTACAATTATAAATAATGAAAATTCGGAATTAAAAAAAGCATTACTAAAAGAAAAGTCTAGAGTCCATATGGAAATACAATTTATAAATAATAGAAATTCAGAATTGAAAAATAAGAAATATTGAAAGAGAAGTCTAGAGTTCATACAGGAGTATAATTTAGAAAAAAAACTAAAATTTTGAATTTAAAATAATAAATATAGGAATAAAATTTATTAATAAAAATAAATTCATAATTAAAAACACAAAGAATGTTGGAAAAGGAGTCTAGAGTCCATATAGAAATATAATTTAGAAATAACTAAAACTAGCATGGTGGCCCGCGCAGCTTGCGCGGCTAGCATCATTATATTTTCTCTCATATAATAGTATATATGTTTTCTCAATATATTATTCAAATATATTAAAATGACAACATAATTTTAAATTTTGCAATAACTTTACGAAACTACTAATGGGTAATATTCATATTGTATTTTATATATATGTTAGTTATTAATTATTTTTAATATCAAATTTTAATTATTTGTAAATTATATATATTCGTATATGGACTCTAGACTCGTCTTTTAATATTTATCTTTTTAATTCCGAATTTTCTGTAAATTGTATTTCTATATAGACTTCATGCTCTTATTCTAATATTATTATTTTTATTTCTGAATTTTTTTTATTTTTAATTGTATTTCTATGTGGACTCTAAACTCATCTTTCAGTATTCTTTAATTTTTAATTTCGAATTTCAGTTACTTCTAAATTGCATTCCTATATTAACTTTAAACTCTTCTTCCCATGTTTTTCTTAATCTCGAATTTTAGTTATTTGTAAATTGTATTTTTATACGGACTCTAAACTCTACTTTTAATTTTATTATGTTTATTCTGAATTTTAGTTAGTTTTAAATTCCTATATGGACTCTGTATATACTCTACTTCTAATATTCCTTATTTTTTTAATTACGAATTTCTATTTTTTTCTTAATTGTATTTCTATATAGACTCTATACTCTACTTCTAATATTCCTTATTTTTAATTCCGAATTTCTATTTTTTTCTTAATTGTATTTCTATATAGACTCTATACTCTACTTCTAATATTCCTTATTTTTAATTCCGAATTTCTAATTGTATTTCTATATAGACTCTAGTCTCCTCTTCTAATATTCCTTATTTTTTAATTCCGAATTTCAACTATTTCTAAATTGTATTTTATATGAACTCTAGTCTCCTCTTCTAATATTCCTTTTTTTTAATTCCGAATTTCAGCTATTTCTAAATTGTATTTCTACATGAACTCTTCTTTTTCTTTTTCTCCGATTAATGTGAGAATTTCTAGACCATGAGAGCGAACGTGGAGGCTTCTTTTTCTATTCCTTTAATAATATAATAGATTTGGTATTAAAAAATAATTAAGAACTATCACGTATATACAACACAAAATGAATAGTAAACATTGATAGTTTGGTCAAGTTAGTACAAAATTTAAATTATGTTGTTATTCTAAGATATTTTAATAATAAAATAAGAAAATATATATGCTATTATATGAGAGTAAATATAAAGAGGCTAGCCGCACAATTTGCACAGGACACCATGCTAGTTCAATAATAAGTGGACATAAAAGTTCTATAAATTTATAAAAAGAATTACTAAAAACATGTGTAGGCATGAACTATATTACCGTCAAATCTAGCTTAAGTCCAAACTTAACTTAATTTGAATGGGAAAAAAGATCTAAATTACAAGTTACATTGTTTTTATCTGTTTGATAGTTTTCACTGGATATTTCCTCTGGATATAGGTGAGCTAATTCCTGGAGATGCATGGATCGAACCGAAGAAAATTGGTTATGGAGGTGAGAGTTGAGGACGTGAACTACAACATCATGGCAGACGACTACAGTAAATTCATCGAGGATCTCCGGAAAAAGCTCGCCAATCATCCGCATAAGGAGATGATCCATGATGTTCCCGTGCTGGCAAGGCAACAATCTCCTAGACAGCCGGCTAGGTGGATGTATATTAATCTGGTGGGCAGGAAGAAGGACAGGGCAACCGTAGCCGTTCGGGATGACAATGTCTACCTTATGGGCTTCAGGAACATGAACGGAGAATGGTTTCACTTGGGCTTTTCGAAGTGGAGCGTGCCCATTCTTCCGGAATCATCCAAGTTTTTAGAATGCGACGTCGCTTATAGAAACTTACTTGATGTACCACAAGGAGAACAGGTCATGAGTAGGTTGGTGGAGGTGGAGCTGCGGAAGACGGTGGTGCTAGATGCCGTCCATAGGTTGTCGCGCTACACACAGCGAGGGCAAGATGATCGTATTGATCGATTCACCAAACGGGATCTGGCACGCCTGATTATCGTGATCTGCGAGTCTGCAAGGATGAGGCCACACTACACTACGGTAAACAAGGGCTTCGTTCACGACGAGACAACCAGCCTCACCAAGCTGCACGTATTCTACTTGTGGAACTGGGGGCTTATGTCACGGGCGCTGCGCCAAGGCTGGCGGCCATGGCCCATCAGACTTGTTGAAGATGCCCGGGCAGTAGTCCAACTGCTGCTCAACGCTGCGGCCGCGATGCCGTTGCGAATGACCGAAACGGAGGCTGCCTCCTCGTCCTTTGCCAATGACATGCCTTTTGCCTCCTCGGCCTTTCTCGATGTCATGCATTTTGCCTCCTCGCCCGATGAGATGGCCTTTGCCTCCTTGCCCTTTCTCGATTGGATGGATTTTGATTACTCCAACACTAAAGCTAAAGCCACTGAAGCAAACGAGCAGCCTGCAGCCATAGATGACATGGCGCCAGTAAACGACGAGGAGCCCGCAGTGACGACTGATGACTTGGCTTGGGAATACCATGAGGAGTCGGCAGCGAGCGATGACATTGATGACCTGGCGTCCGAAGACCATGAGGAGTCGGCGGCGTCCGATGACTTCGCGCCCGTAGTCGACGAGGAGCCTGCAGCGACGGATTACGAGGACGAATTTACAGGTCAAGTCCATGGCCGACGATTAGTGGAGTTGTTGGCCGTGAGTTCCGACTTCGACAGCTTTATGATAAGTATCTTTGACGGGAAACGTGGCCAGATCGTCTACAATCACCACCAAGGACATCATACTGTCATCCACGACTCTCAAGTATGTATTACTCGAGGTTGTTATGTGTAACGCGCAACTTTTTTTAAAGAAAAATCATTGGTCTAACTTATATATGGAGTACATGTGGTTTTACGAAATTAGGACATGTAATAAGTTTTTAGAAGTTGATGACCGAACAGCTGATTAAATATATATAATCAGATGGAGTACTTATTATATAGATGGTCTCTTGAGGTCATTTATATATGGACTATATATATTTTCAAACCAATGAATATAAGCATTAATTTGCCCTTCACAATGCATGCAGCGCAATTTGGTGCTGACTGGACCATATAGGGCCATCTCAGCTGACGGGAGCTTTCTAATTGAAGTTGATACCAACAATGAGGATGTCCATCCTGATAAGAAAAGAAAAAACAATGAGAGCGAGGTCTCATCTGATGATGTTGATGGCACTCTGTTCTGGGACAGCTATAACGATTACAACTACACTAGGTCTGACAGGATATTGGCTCACACTATCAGGACAAGCCTTGGCCCCGTTGAGGTGACCTACGCGGTGCTGACCAACGCCGTGGAGGCCACCGTGCAGGTCAAGCTCCTGCTTCTCACTGGAGACGGCGCCGCCACGTTTGCTGGCAGTGACACCCTCTTCGTCTACGGTGACATCACGGTGCGCAGCCACTGCTTCGACGTCGCGAGCATGCTCTTCAGCCATGGCTCGCAGAACAAGGTTGCAGTGGCACTCACCTCTGACACCGCGACCATTCCACTGTCGCGGTGTGTTGTTGCGGTGCCACTCCACCATCGGGTTGAGATAGAGGCGAAGCTGTATGTTGAAACTTCCAACGAAGAAGAGAGTATCAATTACACTTGTTTCCAAGGTAAGCTGGACTTCGCCGCCGGCCGTGACCAGCAGATACAACAGATATCCCACGGCGACAACCCTGCAGTGGTTGAAGTCACCTGGTCGCCGGACTTCTTTTGAAGGTACATTGAACTCTCAACCTATATTTCAAATGTTTTCGGATTAGTTGGCTATATGCATAATTTTCAGCACTTATCTTTCACACTTACAGGGATCGAGTGGTAAACAGCATAGATCGAGACGACGGTCGATCGGCGGAGATTCTCTATGGTGAAAACCACAAAAGTATTGTAAGGTGAACCAATAAATGGTTCGTTCTAGAACATCCAGGTATCTAGCTATATCGCTTAATTATTCTATATGGGTTCTGTATAAATAAGGCTCTTCATATAAACGGAATTGTTTTAATACGAGGATTTCGATGAGGAGAAGCAGATTTGTGTGCTATACTATGATATGTACCGTCTATAAAATATTGTGTGCTCTGACGTTGTGTGGCTTTTCGAAGATCTATCATATAGGTGATTGTGTATGGTTGTGAACTCATAAAACAACAATTATTGTATCCCTCCAATAGTTTTGTGTTAATTACAAGTATGTGACTATTGCTGGTCAAAATTACTATTTAATTTGTGTATAGTGCAAAATTATAGTTATGGGTCGCAAAGAGCATGGCCAAACAATCCAATATGCTGATTATACAATGGAACCCCGGAAACGCCAACTCACATTTCAAATTTCAAACGTTATTGTATTGAACTTTGGCAAAGAGAAGCAACATTAGATCCACGGTTGCAAGAGGTTAACCACACCCGACCCCATCTGTCTGATGCTCACCTCCAAATGCCTTTCTGTCGGAAGAAAATGTGCCACACACAGATGAGCAATGGAAAAGTATGCAACCAGGTAGCTCATGTTGCTGCACAATCATGAAATGGTATAGAATTAAAATTATCAAGTCCATTTGTCAAATAAAAGCATTGGAGAACATGAGCACAGCTTGAATAGAACCAAATCAAATCAGATGGTAGAACGAAGCAAAACGGATCGAAGAGACAGAGAGAAAAAAAAATCATAGACAACAAGGAACGAGGGGGGGTTCAAGAGGTCAAAAAACTTAACCATGCTTGTTGCCAAATCCCATGATGAAGCGTAGCTTCTCTGCAGTGGCATGCTAGGAAATGCGCTACCGTGAGCTGAATGCTTCTTCTGATTTGTGCGACACCTAATTAATACTGCAAAAGCATTAACATAGTGGCTTTGGTGTTAGGCTCAACTACAAAAGTGTGATAAAGACATCAAGCTAATAAATGATACATGTCGTAAACTTGAGTCAACGGTCATGTAAATTTTTGCCAACTTCGGATGAAGGTTCACTAATAGAATTCAATAATTGTGGGTCTTTCGTCTTGTGTTGGTGCTTATTAGTTTGTTTCTTTTCTTTTTAGGTAAATGTTGCTACATGATACCCAAATTTTGTGTAATTTGCTTATAGACATTGAAAAACATGTCATGGTTAAAAGACATCCTAAAAAACTTGTAATTTGCTATATGAATTTTTCGACTTAATTGAAAAGATAAATTGTTAAGAAAGACAAGAATGCCCCTAGATCACGTGCTTCAAACACAACGTTAGAGTAAAAATTTAGAAATTATGCAACTTTAAATTTAGCATCACCCTTAGTACATCACTAGTAAATATTATATTTCATCTTTACTCTAGTCTCAGCTCAAAAACTTTTGACCATAGTTTTTCTAGATTATAAAAAGGTAACCACAAATAGTCTTAGACTCTCCTAAACGGCTTATATATAAAGCTAGGCGACATTGCCGATCTTAGGTCTTAAAGAAACATTAAAAGCCCAAAAAGACATTTGAAAACTTTTGTATCTATACGGTGAAAGCAGCAAGCTTTCTTACACGAGAATGTGTCACATCATCACAAATATATTAGCCGTCGGATAAAGAGTTTGGATAAACAATGGCCATTGGATTAAAAGGGTATATGTATTTAAAAAACACAAATGGGCTAAACATATGGAAATTTCTGGAGGTTTCTGGCACCTCCTCCTAGACACATGATAAAAAAGAGAGTTAAAAGAGAGAAGAAACACAAGACTTCTAGTGATTGCTCTTATAAACATATAATACAACTTAGTTAAATCTATAATTGGCTAGCGAAATCAATACTTATATCAAAACATTTTTAAAAGCTTACCTTAACTAATAGAACATATAGAAAAGTTCTTAAACAGGATTAAAAGTCGCGCAACGCGCGACTATGTGGCTAGTCTTCCAGAAGGAAATTCGCCTCCAAACAGGTTGGGCTTTAAAAGCCCAAAACCAGACCTCCCTCCCGTAAGGCCGGCCTGGACAAAATTCTGGCATGGGCCCTAATCTCTGAAAAATTCCAAACTATAATAATAACCAGATTATTGAATCTTCCCATGGCTGACAAGTGGGCCCTTATACAGAGAGACGCTGACGCCAGCATGACGCTGCGGTGACGCCCAAAATTTCGGGGAATGGGACCAAATGGCACGCAGACGCAGCAGCAGGTGAGAGGCGACATGCATGCGCCGGCCGGTTCTCACCTCTTCCATTTCAGCAACAGCTGGAAAAAGCGCCAAGAAACAAACACCTCATCATCAAGCCAATGCAATTCAACCCCACAAAAAGGCCTTCCGAATGATACAGCTCACATCATCACACCAGCCACACATCTGCACAAGGTCTCTGTAACTGCTACTGCTGATGATGAATCATTGTTCATCAGGATGATATATGATTCACATGAAGAACAGAAGTGAGCACAACAGAAGAAGCTCCTCTCCATTTCAGAAGTGAGCACATCTTGTGAACAAAAAGCTCATGGAAAGGAGGGCACTGATTATAATGTGAACACGTGGCAGATGAACCAGCAGGGAAGCCATTATAATGTTGTCACTAATTGGAGAAATACTTTAGGTTACAGAGGATACAGGACAGTGACTGGATGATGATGATGGAAACTCAATACTACATTTTCAGAGGTAAAAGGAGGAGATGATCACTATAATTGAGGATCATCAGATCTTTTCTTCCAACCTTGTGCTTCTTCTGCACATCATTATTGACCTTTTGCCACAACTGTGAGAAAATGCATCTCAAACTAGTGGGTTTTTTAGGTACATCAGAAGCTGAATTTTTCCTCTATTGGTTATGTACAAGATTAGCAAACACTCTCAGGAGTTTCAGTTGTGAGTTGTGACATGCAGAAGCATTCACTAGTTCAAAACAAGTGGAAATGTTCACTTGTTCAGGCCTGAGTTTTGGTGTCAGGGACAACTACAAGTCCAGAACCATGAAAAAGATTGCACAGAAGACTGAAATATTAGGGTCAAGTACATCAACCAAAGTAGAAATATTATACAGGAGTACATCTAACCAAGCTGAACTACAAAGCCGACATGCACCTATTCAGTGAATCAGGTTATTGTTTATTAACATATGACAAGATCTGCACTAGTATCTTTTCCATCCTAATTTTATAATAGTTTGGTAGCAGCACTAATACAGTTTGACCTGATCTTTTATGTCAGATAGAATTATGCAGGAGATAAGAAGATCACCTAGATATAGATTATTGACAATATCACACAGACAATCTTGCAGGGGTCTTATCATTATTGGCACTAGAATTTAACTCATAAGTGTGTGTAATGTGAAATCTGTTACTCCGCACTCTATCCATGTTGATCTCCTAATCTAATTCTTAATATATTATATTTTCTGCTGGCAAGAAGCCTTCAAATAAATTGGACAACAGAACTGATCCATCACAAACTGCAATCCACAATGAGGAACTCTTAAAAAGATTCCCATATTGAATATAAAACCAAATTAAGGATTTCACAGAACCATATGTAGAACTGAAAGGATGGAAAAAGTCTACACCGCTACAGCAGTACTTCATAATGTCAAACATTGCTGAATTTTGCACGCATGATAGTTTCAAGATTTGACCTTTTGATTAAACCATCCAAATATCAGGACCAAACATGAATTATGACACAACACAATCGAACTAAACCACAGTAGATTTTTTTTTCTTGTTTAATTTTTTTGTCGACATTCTCGACAACAGGCCACATTTCATAGCGACCTCACAGATTTTTCAACTATAAGTTACTCCCAGAATTAGCCGCGCACACATGGAGGACTAACAAAAATGCCATGATATACACCAAATGCAGCATCAAAACATGGGAAGAAGGAATCATCTTTACATAAAGATGGTTCCTTTCCTTTCCCCCCTTCCTTTACAGAACGGCACACATTTTATAATTACTACTAGACCACCACAAGTGAGGAAAAAAACCAAGAACAGGAGAGCTACCTATAACCACCACATTTGCGCGATCAAATCCAAATTCTCGACGGTTCGATCGGCATTACCTATCACCACCACATTGCGCGATCAAATGTGAATTCTCCATGTTTCAATCGGCGTTGAGCATCGGCGAATCGAGCCCCTCCATGCGGCTGCGAACAATGCGGTGGAACACCTCCCTGACCTGCCTTTCGAGAGGCTCAAGGCCGGCCCTCATGGCGGCGCACACGGCAGCCAGCTCGGCGGCGGCCTCCCGTACCTCGGCCTCGCGCTCACCGGAGAGCGGGACGGGTGCGGCGTCGATCGCCTCGGCGAGCCGCTGCGTGCATTTCTCCAGCGCGTGGATTTCCTTGAGGAGGCCGCAGGAGTTGCGCCTGTCCTTGCGCTTCCCCTCCTCGGTGAGGCGCTCCTGGAGCGCGAGCAGCGGCGGCGCCCATGGGAACGCGGCGCGCGGCGGCGCGGCGGGGAGGTGGTGCGCCTGGAGCGCGGCGGCGCGGTCCGGGCACGGCACGGCGGCGACGAGGGCCCACGCGGCGAGGTGGAGCAGGCAGCCCATGGAGTACACCGGCGCCACGAGTCCCCCCTCGTGCGCGCGCGGCGCCGCCAGGCCGGACCCGATGGCCTGCAGCTGCCTAGCCGCCGACCAGTTGCGGGAGACGCTCCACGAGAGCGAGCGGAAGTGGGAGGAGGAGGAGGACGACGACGAGGAGGATGAGGAGGAGGCGAGCGTCGCGGAGCGGGAGGGCGACGCGCGGGCGCGGCCGAAGGAGCGGTTGCGGTGGGAGGAGAGGAAGGAGGCGACGCCGCCGCCACCCGCGGCGGCCGCGGCGTCGTCGATGAGGAGCACCGAGAGGTCGGAGAGCGCCTTCCGCGCGCGGCGGAGCTGGCCCTCGTGGATCTCCCCTGGGGCGAGCAGCACGGACGCCGCGATGCCGGCGAGCCGCTCCCACCGCCTGACCTGGTCGACGCCGTCGCGTGCGGCGTTGCACACGTCGAGCGCCTTCACCGCGCGCTCGTAGAAATCCCCCACCATCTTCTCCGCCGCCGCCGACAGCGCCCCGCGGCGGCGCGCCAGCGCCACCACCACCCGGAACTCCTCCTGGCACAGCAGGAACGCCTCGAGCAGCCGCCGGATCCACTCGATGGACAGGAGCTCGTCCTCCCCGCCCCTGAGATCGGCGAGGTGCGCCGCCACGTGCCGCTGGAACGCCTCCAGGTCGGCCTCCTCGCCGGACGCCATGGCCGGGGACGCGCCGGCGGCGGCGGCGGGGCTGTCGCGGCGGAGCGAGAGGAGGGAGCGGCCGAACGAGGAGAAGGGCGACGGGTGGGAGTGGGTCGAGGAGGAGCCCTGGTAGTCGGTCGCCGGCATGGTCGCCGGCGAGATCGCCGGAGAGGAAACCGAAGCGGATCTTGGAGAGAGAGCTTAGCGGGTTAACGGGTGAGATGGATGGAGATGGTGAGGTGGTGATGTGTGGATGGATGGATGGATGGGTGTATATATGTATGGGATTGTGATTAGGGAGGGGATTAGTTTAATGATATTTTGGGGTTTAGGGGGAAGTGGTCTTAGCTAATCATGATTGTTTGGATTTGTTTAATCTTTGGTTTGTAAATGATTTCTTTCTGTGGGTGCAAATATTCTTCTGGAACTGAGAATGTTTCTAGTTTTTGTTTAGCTTTCTCTCTCAGGGGGTTTTGGTAGGAGGGGCTCTAAAAGGGTTGTAATTACTCCTGGGTCCTTACAAAGTTAAAATGAAATATTGTCATCTTTTGCATAGAATGAGGTACGAGCATTTTACTATAGTGGAATACTTGAAGAGCCCTTCTTGTTTGAGCCGCGATTTCTAAGTTGTTGCTAATTTTACGTCGTAATTTTAGAATTAATTCAATGGTTTATTTGCCGACCTTTTAACTTTGGAACTGCTAAGAGTAGAAGTACAAAATTGTTATCCTATTTTTTTATTGTTATGATCATGTATTATTGGTTTATATATCGCAACCATAGAAATACCTTCCAAATCGGCCGGTCTCCTCTTATCATTGTTAAAAATGTATTGCCTTGAATACGTTAACGAGCATGCTTGTTTGAGCTACGACTTATAAGCTGTAGCTAAATTCAGACCCTAATTCTAGAATTAGTCTAATGGGTTTTCTCAACCTTGAACTTTTTGACTGCCAAGAGTACAATCATATAGTTTTTATCCTAAAATTATCTTTCATTCCTTCAGTCGTCGCGTATTTTGGTTTTATATATCGTAGCCATAGAAATACCTTCCAAATAGGCCAGGCCCCTCTTGTGGATATGAAAAATATCAGCAAAGATTGTTGTTTGTGTATTCATCTTCTTCTCACTGTGCTACTACAGTGATCAGCTGACTATACTGACAATCTGACATGATGCACAATAATTGGCCATACTTCATGTTGATGCATGGCCAATTTGAGGCAGACACAAAAACCATCAATCCTGGAGGGCTTTTCTGCAAAAGGGCAGGATCAGCAGCCAGATTAATTGGCGAGGTTTAGCTTAACCAAATCGCAAAACTAAACAAATCCGATCAAACTCCGGTGACCAGTCGCCATTTGCAGAGGGGATCATTAGATCAATTCATTATCATCAAATCAAAAGAGAAAAGTAAACCAAACCGAGTTAAGCCCCTCGAGCCGAGACGAATCAATCAGCAAAAAGCTAGTGCTACGCGGGGAGGGGAGTGGTACACGCGGCCCGAGAGTCCCTGCCATGTGGGCCCGACACGCGTAACCCGCCCCTCCCACGCGGGGCCCGTGCGTTCACACCTCCACCCCCACGATTTTACCTTTCTACCCCCCGCACTCCAGTGCTCGCGCCGGCGACCGACCCGGGGGCAGTTTGGGAATAGGACTACCGCGGCGCACGCGGGGCGTGGGCGCGGCCGGTGGGCGGGTGCCACGCGGCCACCGGTGAGGCGCGGCGCGGGGCCCGACGAGGTGGGGCCCAGGTGGCAGTGGGAAACGGTCAAGCGGCCGCACGGGCGCGGGTCGGAAACGGTTGGGATGAGGTGAGGGTGGCGGAGCCGGAGTGTGGTGCGGCGCGTGCGGGTGGTTGTACGGACGGACCGGACCTGGCCGTTGTTGGTGCCGGTGAAACGGGGTGAGGTGTACAAAAGCCTATCAGGGACTGGAGTCGTGTGCGTGACATGGTGAGCTGGCACGTAGTAGAGGCTGCTGGTTATGGTTGGAGTTTTGTGATATGCTCTTTTATATTGCAGGATTTTATTTTTAAAAAAAATCAGTAAACTCAGTCATTTCAATTTTAGAGAGATGAATTAGAGGAGTTGAGAAGAAATAGTTTCACATTATAATAGGTGTGGAATAAATCTCTTTCAAATCTTCTCAATCCTCTCCTGGACTAAGGGAAATTTTTCATACTCTGAAGTTCTGTCCTAGCTAAATTCTCAGTGGTGTTTATGTACAGTGAGATGTTATTGTATTGTTTAAATGGAATCTGATTGTTTGCTTGTTGACTTATAAGCTGAAATTCAAATTTTCAATCTTAGTTTCTGTTGTCTCACTTTTTTTTTACGGCTTATCAGCTGAAGCCAACCAATAAAACCATAAATATGTAAACAATTTCTCTTACCATGGAAATATAGTTGTTCAATTTTAAGTCCTAAATTTAAGATGGGTGCTCGTATTTACTGCTAATTATATTTTTAGTGGTAGGTGATTTATATCCATCGATAGTGAGATGTTTGTAATGACGCAATCAATTTAAGACGCACTGGTTTAGTCCCTCGGAAAGTGGATGTGGTCATAGTGTCATGTTGTGTGTGCTCGACTGTTCGTTTATACAAATAAGTGTGCATATATTTGTACGGATTTCTGTACAATATTTTTGTTGGAATTAATACGTGGGCTACTAAGGCTCATATGGAGATTAATTTTTTTGAAAAATCAATAAAGGTCCCCTCTTGGAACCTTCGTCCTTCGACATTCTGTATCGGGAGAAGACGATAATTAGCTTTTTGGAAACGGCTCGCGTGACTGCTTGCTGGTCTTTCACGACGGCTCGTCTTCCTCTACACTCTAGGGACATCCAGCACCGCCGTTGTTCCTGCAGTGCGCGCTGCTCCTCATCAATCTAATCCACAACAAACCAGAGCTTTCGTTATGTGTTCACCATGTATCATCTATTCGATGTGCTCAGGGTTTACTGTTTAGTATATATGTCTAGATCGTATATCGTGGTTATGTTAGTATACATAGTCAATAACGTGATTTATTTATGAAATAAATTAAATCTACGTGTGCTTATATTACCGTTAATGTTTTGCATCGGAATGTTCTGAAGTTCTTGGCCGCTTTGTAACCCGTACTAATCGAAGCAACAGTGGGCGAAGTGGTCGCAATCATGCATCAATCTTCGGGGATCCACACTACTTGTGCCTAACGTTTGGTAGGCCGTCAAATTACAAAAAAATCGGCGATGCTTTTTGGCCACTCGATCTTGTACGACTTTTGTCATTCTCCAAGCCACACTATCAGCAAATGTTTCACCGATGGTGGCATTCGATATTAGCCGGTGTGGATTTTTTTTTCTTTCTTTCTTTCTTAAAAAAAAACAGCATATATAAGTACTTCTATTATGAAAATGTCACCGGGAACATCTATTGTCTAATAATAATTGGGATCGAGCAATTCATATACTCCCAGATATGTCTCCTTTTTTCAAGACAGGATTCAATAATCAACGTATTAAGCTATGGAACTTTATTTTAGATCTTGTTCGGTTAATACATCTCTTAAAGTATTGAAGCTGTGGAATTAATTTGGAGAATTCCTTTATCACAGATTAACTACACAAATCATGAGAAGAGAGTTGACTTAAAAATAAGAGGTGATGCAAGAAATAAAAAAACACTAGGTACGATAAATCAAAAAAAGCAAAGGTGGGGCATTGAAAATGCTACTACAATGACGTGGAGAAGTGGTGGCCAGAACCCAAAACGCATAAAAAATGGCTCGTTAACAAACATGGTACTAGTCTCGTATTAATCGAGGGTTTACCTTATCGTTTCCAGATGAACTCATCTACTCTCCCTCGATTCACCGATCAAAAACCGAGCAAATTAAAATCGGTCTGTGCACCAATACATTAAATTTTAGGTGTACAAATACCCTGCAAATATTTATGATTGGTAAAAAAACATATTAAATTGTTCTAGAAGAAGAAAAGTCACAAAACCATTGCTTGCAATTTGCAAATACTCCAGTGTAAAGGGGAGTACTCCAAGAAAACAATTCTGCCAGTGGGCCCAGGTGGCGTGGCCGGACACGTAAACCAGCGAATGAGAGGATAGCATAGCCAAGGGTTGGTTTTCCGGGGAACACACGGCCGGCAGCCGTTGTTGTTGTGACTTGTGAGGGAAGGCAAATCCAAGCCTGCCTTGCTGTTGCCATCGTATGGGAAGAGGACTTGTTGCTTGTCTTGTCTCTTGCATGCTCAGTGCTGCATGCCTAGCTAGCCGGCATGTTCTAATTGGACAAACTCACTACTGTTTGTTCATCCATTCCGATGGATTATGACATGGACATGTGGTCTTCTATGCAGGGTCTCCCAAACCACTGTGGCCGGGGTTACCGCGTCCCGGCGGTAAGCACGGTTACCACTGTATAAAACCGTGTAAAATTTATCAAAAATTTAAATTGTTTTTTAAACTTATTTGAATTTAAGGAGGTTACCGCGGTATTTATATTACCGTACCCCGTGATAAGCCCGGTAACCGCAGTAACCGCGCAGTTATCGGCGGTAAGGTAACCCCTGCTTCCATGGCTATGTTTCGAGTAGATTTTAACTTTTTTTCTTCAAACTTCTAACTTTTTCGTCACATCAAATGTTTGAACACATGTATGGAGCATCAAATGTGGACGAAAAAAAAACCAATTGCACAGTCCGATTGTAAATTGCGAGACGAATCTTTTGAGCCTAATTACACCATTATTTGATAATGTGATGCTATAGTAAACATTTGCTAATGACGGATTAATTAGGCTTAATAAATTCATCTCGCAGTTTACAAGAGGAATCTGTAATTTGTTTTGTTATTAATCTACGTTTAATACTTCAAATGTGTGTTTGTATACTTTAAAAAAAAATTGGCACACGAACTAAACACAGTCTATGTACATTGTTTAGTGTCCCTTCTACCGGCCAATTTTGACATGCTTAGAGCAAGGTCAATAACATAGCCCGCTGTTGGCTTCAAAAAAATAGCCATGACATCTATAGTAAGCAGTGTAGCTAATGTCTACAATAGAAATACTATAACACGAATATTTTATTGTTTTGTGGGACCCACCATCTTCTCCTACCTCACATTCTCTTTCTCCCTCCTATCCCCTTAGTTCATGTCTTCATGTCTTCTTCTTTCTTGAGCTAGCTTCGATTCGCTGTCACCGACAACGGAAGACGGCAGTGGCAGACGCAGGAGATGGCAGTGGAGGTGGAAGACGGCGGTGGCCGTGCGGCGGGCGTCGAAGATAGCGGTGGCCGGGCCGCGCTGCAGAGGCGGAAGACGGCGGCAACCGTGCAGGCGAGGGATGACGGGGGCCGTGCAGCGGATGTGGGAGACAGCGGCGGCTGTGCGTCGGCACCTGTGAGTCTAAGGGCAGCGGTCTGGTGGCCGCGGGAGTTGGCAACGGAGGCAGGCCAACGCAAGGCATGGCCGATGCTTCTCCATCTAGGTAGGCCCCACAAACTCCTCAAGCGGCGCATGCAGCCCGACAACAAATTAGTCGTTGTCTCTATCTCTCTCTCTCTCTTCCCCTCTCTCCTCCAGATCATCACAAAATCCTACGTGGAACTACTACTGCCCATTATTAATTGTATCTGCTCTTATTAAACATAGGTTAAATTATGGAGTAAAATGCACCAGCGGTCCTTAAACTTGTCAGGAGGTTTTACTTATGTCCACGAATTTGCAAAGCGCACATCGAGGTCCCTAAACTTGGTTTATTGTATCATCCCGGTCCAAAGCCGTGTTTGACCGTGGTCTTGCCTACGTGGCATGCCACGTGGACGATGACATGAATTTTTTATATTTTTTTCTCCCTTCTTCCTTCTTTTTTCTCTTTTATGAAAAAACGATGACATGGACGATGACGTGTGCGAGGCATTTTCGTCTTTTCGATAGAATTTTTTTATTTTTTCTCCCTTCTTCCTTCTTTTTTTCTCTTTCTTCCTTGTCGAAAAGACGAAAATGCCTCGCACACGTCATCGTCCATGTCATCGTCTTTTCATAAAAGAGAAAAAAGAAGTAAGAAGGGAGAAAAAAAATATAAAAAATCCATGTCATCGTCCACGTGGCGTGCCACGTAGGCAAGACCACGGTCAAACACGGCTTTGGACCGAGATGATACAATAAACCAAGTTTAGGGACCTCGATGTGCGCTTTGCAAGTTCGTGGACCTAAGTGAAACCTCTTGACAAGTTTAAGGACCGCTGGTGCATTTTACTCTTAAATTATGCAATAGTTTGTTACCATATATTACTTTAGCATTAACATATACTATCTCCGTCCTAAAATTAACCTTAACTACACTTCTTCACGAAAACCTTAAACCTGTTGAACACAGGATCATAAAATAGCCTATGGATCTGTCTGGTTACATGTCACATATTGCCAAACCAAATACTATTAGACTAGTTGTAGTTTGTTAGGTTAGTGTTTGGTTGGTTGTTGAAATTGTGGCAAGTCACATTTTACTACTTTATAGACCCACATATCATAGATACAATTTATAGCCAAACATTACCATACTTGTGATGAACAAATTATTGGCCATATGCCCAAATTTTGTATGGCAAAGCCCCATACTTATGACAAATTTAGCTGTGGAAAGCTAGGCACAACCAATAGAAGCCAAACTAACCAATAGAAGCCAAACAACTAGAGGTACATTTCCATATATCCCATCATGGAAGTTATGCTTTTTTACATAATTCTACTTGTTGTGTGTGAAAATAATTTTTTTTATCGTAATGTACGGGCAATTAACTAGTCATGTGTTAAAAATAGAGTTTTGACAAGGGGGATTTTAAATTTCGTCACTCAAGTAGGAATTTAATTATTCACTATAAAATTAATAATGTAAACATAGTAATGGATTCGAAGAAAAATATCTGATACTCTTAATACGTGAAAATAAAAGGGAACGTACAGATGGACCTGGTCTCATGAACCGGTCAAAATTCCAGCTGAAGTGTTGACCATGCGATACCAGTAGCGGTGGTAGTTGTTCGTTGAACAAGTTCAGACCATAAGCTAATTTCAACCAGAGAAAAAAGTTCAGACTTGAAGCCTGACCACACACACACTTGGCACTTGTATATAGGCAGAGACACATGCACTGAACCTGAGTACTAAGAGTATCAGATAAAATACCTACAGTACCTGGTACTGAGTACTGACACGTCGTCATTTCATTTGCTTGGGAATCAAGAAGAATTCAGGATACATCAAGTTTGCATTCATTAGGGAGCATCTGCTGGTTCCCTTTCTTTCTTTTTTCTCTCCTAAAGTGGATGGATGCTTCATGGCCTCACTCACACAACCCTATCGTTTCGCCTAAGCTTATAAGTCAAATTTTGTATTTTAAAAACTAATTTTGAAATCAATTTTATGCTTTTTTCACCATAGTTTTATTTTACAGGATTTGCTTTTGAACTGGTAGGGACACCTGTACAAAAGTTGTGTTCATAAATTATTATTTGTTTTCTAATAAGCCATAAAGATAAGAATTTAAGCATAAGCGAAAGAATGAGGCGGTCAGTAATCTCAGTTATCAGAATGGTTCGCTCTCAGTGATAGGAATATATACTATCTGAATTGATGTTTTTGGTCCCAATTCTTTAGTATTTCTTGGGCTGCAGGAAATGTGTTCATGCTTGCCAAGTTGATCGATTACATTTGACAGTTCAGTCACTGCTACTAGATACCTCCTGATCTAAACAAGATATATTTCACCTTAATTCAGGGTAAAGCCACCTTTTTTTTTTATACCGGTAAAAGTTGATTGTAATAGAAGCAGATGTTGTATCCTCTACTGTCCCTTTCTGGCCACCTAACTCTAGAAAGAGAAGCACTGTATCTAAAATAGGAAGTCACTTTCGAATCTTTATTTGGATGGAGATGCAGGCTTACATGGATTGTACAAGATCGGTTTATTTTAGTGCCTGCCGTGATAAGATCTGCATGATTTGGGTTGCAAAAGCCTAACTATTGGTCACTCTTGGAAGCAAACATAGTATGCGCTTTCTGATGGTGACACTGGACTACTTGAGCCTAATACAAGGTACAATTATCCACCTCACAACTGAAATCATGTGGACTTGAATCACCAAATTATTAGCTTTCTCAGTTAATAAATCACTGGAGAACAGTCAAATGAATTCTGCGAAAATTATCCGATGCACATACAGAATACCTGTTATAGAGAGAGCTATGGGTCAAAAAGAAATAAAGATAACATTCAATTACAAAGCAAAATCAGAATAAATAAGCTAAATGCTAAAATAACAATTTGCCTTTTGTTGCTTGGGTGTTTCTGAGTTAACACATCATCAGTAACATACAACAGAACGGCGTCCCAGGCTAAACTTGGGGATGGTCAGCTCCATCCAGGGGCATGCCCTCAGGGCGTCAAATAAGAAGCATCCATGATGTTTCTGGCCTGCCTGGAAGTTCTATTCGCAGGCCAGCTTGGTGTCGAAACTACTCAGGGAGATAGCAAATGCCTGGAAGGCTGAGAGCGGGTAGTGGTAATCCATGGTGAACATGTCCTTGGCAACCTTCCCGAATTGCAGTATGACCTTATCATGCTCTGGTGGGGGTGGTGGAACAGGCTGTGATGGAGTTGGGGCTCCCGCAGCAGGCTGCGTGGCTGCGATGAGCTGGAAGTTCTTGACAGAAGCAACAGTTACCCGGCCCCGGAAGTTTAAGCACCAGCACTGTAGCTGCTCATGCCATCTTGGAGCCTTGTTTTGGAGAATCAAAGGTGTCTCCTTGCACTCCTCATCATCGCTCAATACCCGGCCCCCAATCCTTGGGCCATCTCCAATTGAGATGTCAGAGAACTGAGCACTGCTGAAATGCATGGAATGGTCCATAACGGACGATTTCGAAAAGGAGACACTCCTAAAGGAGGATTCATTGAGGGAATGGGCAAGGATGCTATCCGGCTGGCTAGGAACAGTCCCACCAGCCTCAAGAGATGAGGCAGGGATGGAGTGCATTAAACAGCACATCCGCCTAGGACCCCGAGTTCCAAAGACGTTTAGCTCATATGAGATGTTTGCTATGCTATATGTGCTGCAGGGATGCTTTGCTGTTCCCTTGTTGGAGAATCTTCGGCTTGTTTTCCCTGACTGTGAATCACTAGTTGCATTGTACGGAGTGTGGGTATCATATATTACAAACTTTGTGCCAAGGAAGTTTGACCTACAATTCAAAATGGAGACATATTAGCAGCAGCAATAATTTTTAGATTAAAATGGGGTAAGTTCTGAAATAAGGTTGTAGTTTCTTCGGGTTAATACCTCAATTTTCCAATGTTTGTGTTGGTAGACCTAGATAAATTGTTAGCATTCATAGATATCACATATTCTGTACATGTTGCATGCCAGTTTCTTTTTGCTGATAGAAGGAATTTGCCATTGTCAACAAGCACAGCTGCAGAAAAGGGAAATCAAAACATCTAAAATTAGTAAATGCTGGTACTGAAATACTAAAAGTATTCCAGCAAGGAAACAAAACATATATGTGCACCAGTGACGGAGCACGCGCAAAAATTAGGTGGGTCAGACACACAAGACATACTGAAGTAAAAGAATGACAATGCTTGCATATTAAAACGGTACAACTCATAAGACGATTAAAAATAACAAACAAACAACGGTTTCCACCATATAATATTAATTCGTTGTGCATAAAAATATTATGAGAAGTTAAGAACATATGCCGACATCAAAGCAGCTCAAATATGTCTTGCATTTACACACATAAAATTAGTAAATGTCTTTCCATACATCTCATCCCGAGATTCCCTCCTATTTTGTTTCGTCGTCATTTCCTAATATATCTAGTCGGCAATTAGCTAAGCTCACTTGATGTTACTAGCAGGCGGACGCAAGGCAACAGAAGAGGATTGAGTTCGCACAACAGGGCTCAAAGGGCTAGCAGTGGTCGACTTTGAGGCCCGTGCCGGCCGATGGCAGAGCTTGTGCAGCTAGGAGCTCAATGCAAGCACGCTGAGCTCATCGCCTCATTCTCACGATGCATGCGTGCACAACAGTATAGCCTTGAGGCCCTTTGTATCTGATGTGCACTATGTTACCTATAATTGGAAACCAACAATGACAGATGCACACCCACATGGACACAGCAAACAGATAGCATGCAATTCCAATCAAGCAAAGGACACAGCAGCTCAAATTACAATTGCACAGAACCAGTCCCACTTGTGAATATACTCGCACCATATGGGTGTCATTGAACTATTGAAGTGGTTCGAATGCAAACAATCTCAAGAGAACAACCTACTTGTGCATAACAACGGGAATATATTTTATTAGTGTACTGTTGCTTAATTGACATTATCATGGATCAGGTCAACTTTTTTTCCAGATTGTCAAGTCAAGTAGTAAATACCAAGTGGTATAGGTCAGGTAAAACAGTAGAACAAGTGCATGACAGAGGTATACAATACTAAAAAATAGCACTTAATTATACATAACAACTATTGTGTGCTGTATCCTATTATTTTGGTTACAAAAATGAGACAACTTATTACAGAATTGTAGTTATAAAGAACCTAACTTAACTGTATGAAAGCCAAGGAATGCTGAATGATCTGTTCACAAGTTCGCTTGTGCATGATTGTGGAAGATAGACAATGACAAATAAGGAATAATATGTTTCTAGCATATTCATGTCAAATGATAAACATGGCACCAATTACCATCCCAAGGCACCATCTACCCTATGCAAGGGCTATAAGAAAGAACAGCTCTTCATTTGCTATGCAATACAAGCATAGTTTTGGCAGAATATATGCACTCATTCAGCAGCTCACAAGTATATACAACTACATATGAATCTTCTTATGCAGAAGCAAATATGGGCTCTGGTACATAGGCGCATACAACATAAAGCATATGAGATGTAACAAGTAACATACCAGAGCCAAGAGAGAGGTACAAATAGTAGGTCTGCGTAGACTTATCCCTCCTAATGAAACACTGCATAGTTCCATCTCGTGGCCCAGGCTGTACATAGAAGCGGAATAACATGAACTTATTAGCATATAAGCAAACGGTAATCCTGCAATATGTGGGTGTTCTTTCTATTTTTGTGTTTCGAAATTCCAACAATATGTTGAAGGACAAGCACCTAACATGGACGAACTGATATTGCTTGTAAAGGATATAAAACTAAAAACAACACAATTTGCATGATCACCTGCCTCAGAGAAATAGGGAAGGTGATCTTCCCACACAACTCTGGATTCTTGACGATCTCTTTACACATCTCCCTCCATGTTCTGCAGACACCCGCACAAGCAACCACATGCTTCCTAGAAGGCCATGTAGCCTCACTTTCTTCCAACCTCTCAATGATATCACGAAGCAATTCCGGAGGCAAGCTAGCCCAGCAGCTGCTCTGGATTACAGGCACCGGGTCATGCAACTCATGGACAGCACCATGAGACTTCCCCCTGCGATGCCCCAGAATCCTGACCTCAAATCCCCTCCTCGATAGGCTCCCAAATCCATCCCTCACATCGCGCACGATGCTGCGAAACGACATCTACTCTCTGAAAAAATTGAGATCTCTCCTCAGCTACCAAAAGGGATCTATACTTTTCGCCAATGATAACATCCCAGAGTAATTCCAGACCAACTCAAATTCTCCTCATTATTGTTGACCCCGCAAAAAGAACCTGCAGCACAAATGAATTGAATTGGTCAAGATTAATCTTCGATTATTCTTTCTTGAAAAAGATGGGAGACTAGACGACGGTGCCGCGCACGATGGCGACGTTGCCCCTGCCCTGCGGGAATGCAGGTCACAATGCCCCCAATTATCTCTCTCCACACCGATTGCAGCAGCAGTAGCAGGGCGGAAGCTACGAGGGGGCACGCGAAAATGCTGGATTCGGCAAGCCTACCTACCAACCTACTCCCCGGTCTCCCGCGCCGAAGATGCCCAATCGATAAACACGAAACAAAATTCTCTGCTACTGCAAACCTTGTCGTGCTCGCGCGAAGAGGGTAGACGCATCGTGGAAGAGAGCGCCCACTGCTCCGCCGGATCGAGCCCGCCCCCCGTCGCCGCCCGCGTCGAGCCCCGCGCGCGCGCTGCCCGCACCGGATCGAGCGAGCGAGCCCTTCCGCGCGTAGGGTTTGGTCGGGGCAACCAATTGGGCGGAAGGGGGAGAGGGGAAGAGGAGGAGGTGGTGGTGGTTGCCGGCGGCGGAGATGGCCGGAGACGGCGGGATCGGCGGAGGTGGGGATGCGATGCGAGGCGTGTGGTGTGAGAGGAGACGAGGCGAGAGTGTTTGGGATTTCTTTTTATTTATTTTAACGTGTCGTGGTCCCTACTTCATACGGTGCGGTGGTGTGTATATTCATTCCCACCAATATAAATGTGAAAAATTCTAGAATGACTTATATCGTGATACAGATGAAGTATTTGATTTGTTTAAACTTTATGTTAAGATATAATCATTTCTCTATTATTCCCTCCGTCATAAAATAACATAACTTCCCCCACCCATTTATCGCCGCAAAGACTTTATTTTGAAACAATCAAATATATTAGAATTTAATAAAGTTAGATACATACATCGAGATGTGATAAAGCGAAGATTATTGTAGGCATTGTTTTAGATCCCATCCCAAAACTTTACATCATGTCACATCAAATGTTTGAACACATACATGAAGTATTAAATATAGGCTAAAAAATAACTAATTGCTCATATTGCGACTAATTTACGAGACAAATCTTTTAATCCTAATTGCTGCATGATTTGATAATGTGATGCTACAATAAACATTTGCTAATGATGGATTAATTAGACTTAATAAATTCGTCTTGCGGTTTACTGACAGATTCTGAAATTAGTTTTTTTAGTAGTGCCCGAACACCCCATGCGATACCCTATATAATACGCGATATGAGACACCAAAACTTTATACACCTGGATCTAAACACCCCCTTAGTCTTTTAAACATTGTATTTGTAGGTGTAACACCGTCACCTCTTATATCAACTAAGGTAATTATTTATCTGGATACTGCCAATAATAAAGGATAATCTAGTTTTTTATCTTCGTGAAAAACTTCAAAGATATTATCCCAAAATACCTTTGGATACTTCGGAGTATTTTAATTTTAAGAGTATTCACAATTAAAACTTGACTGTTGATTTTCTTTCAAAATATGCTTTTAGTAGTTATAAAATCAGAGTCTGAAAGCATTTTTAGTATTGAATGTTACAATTGTTATACGGTAAATATATTTGCAGTATTGACCTACTGTTGATTTAAACCTATAAATTTCAAAGTATTACTATCTAATAAAAACGACATAAGAAAACGACATGAATAATATGATAATCATTTTTGCTCCAATACAACAGGACATATATGTTGATTAAATTATCGGAGTCATCATTTGGCTTATATTTATGCATATTTGTATTACTTATTAGCAACCAAATAATAATTTATAGATGAAAAGTTTATATACGTATTTTTAGCAATTTAAAAAGTAAATACTGCCAAATAAACTACAATGATAAAACCATAAAATAAACTTCAAATTTGAATTTTAAATTTTCAAAATTGGTTTATAAACATACATAGCGAAACAATGGGATTATCTGTGTAGTGCTGCTGATGCATTAGTTGTCAGCTTCTGCTATTGCATCAGCATTGCAGACGTTCTGCATCCATAGCAAAAAGATGGTGGTGTATGTAAAAAAAATCGTTTGCAAATTGCGAGTTACGGAAGCGCTGTGTTACTCCATCCGTCCCATAATATAACAAATTTTAACTTTCTACTTACACTGTTTGACCATTCGTCTTATTAAAAAAATTTGGAATTATTATTTATTTTATTTGTGACTTACTTTATTATCCAAAGCACTTTAAGCACAACTTTTTATTTTTTATATTTGTACAAATTTTTTAAATAATACGAGTAGTCAAACAGTACCCTTATATTAGGGGACCCCTTATATTACGGGGACGGAGGGAGTACATTTATTGCAATTATGCGGTCGAATTTTCCGTACGCTCTCTCTGCCCGGCAGCACGTACTGTACTGCCGATGATGCTGCAGGGTCACTGTGTATGGTCCTCCGTTCTGCATCTCGGCGATGGCTCTCATCCCGGGCCCACCAAGGCCTGGTCAAAAGTCAAAACTAACAGCCATATACGCCAATATGACATGATTACTGTAAAACGAAGGTGGTAAAATGTGATATTACAGCAACAACAAGCAGCAGCAAAGATGCCCGGTCCATGCAGCTACCATTCAACATACGAGTTGACCAGTCAACATTGACCGAGGGCCCCACACACAGAGACCCACTGCTTTCTTTTCACATCGCCATCTGGCTAGCAAGGCCACCACATTTTGACTTGACTTCAGCATTCATGGTCAGGAAGAGTACCCCCTTGATTGAGTAAAACAAAGTTGGATAGAAAAAAATGATGAAAACTTTAGAATACAGATGGAGCCCAGTATCACATGGAAATTTTACAAGTAGAGAGAATCAGGAGATATAATGATATATAAACAACAAGAGGAGAGGATCACTGAGCTAGCTATAAAGCATTGAAATTGTTGTCACTTGTCAGTAGTCACAGATAATCTGCCACCTCTACCATCTTGCATAAACAATCTGCCACCTCTACCATCTTGCATAAACACGGTCCTGAATTGAATTGATCTGCAACCTGAAATTAACAATCCGGGGAACGAATTGAGTTTCAGACAACCATTATTCAGTTCTAGAGAGAACTTGGAATTATTGGAAGAGCATGGAAGAAACAAAACTCAATGCAGAAAATAACAGGATGCTACCCTGATAACCATCTGCAATCCATTTTAGAAAAAACTATAACAATGTAATCTGTTTTAGAGGCAAACGTTCAGAGTTAAGTCACATATTTTCGCTAAAATTAGCCATAAATTTAAGATTTAAAATTCAAATTTTGGCTGTGGTTGATAAGCTAAAGAGCAAACGATGGAGTTGGCTAAGCATAGGTGAACCAGCTAAGCTAGACTCATCAGTTATATACTTACGAGTTTTAGAGTAAACTCTCTGTAATAAAGCATACCATCATATTTAAAAGCAGTGTTCTACATACAGACAAACTGTAAACATTGTTCGTGCAATTGAACAAATATAAGCTACTTCTTGTCAAGATAACAAACACCATACCAATTACCCATTAACAACTTATCCATACAAGAGTAAGAACTAATATCTGTTTAATCAGGGGAAAAAGAAAAATTTGGATATTGTTGACTTTGAATCATGAAGATTATTGGATATTGAAACTCAGCTTGGAAGTGCCAATCTGACAGCACACAAGATCACCAAATCCGAGCAGCATCACTATTTGTATCTTGGTGATGCAGTTGCTTCCCTTTTGTTATCTTTTATTCGCTGATTATGTTTACACCCAAGTACACCATGTATAGAACCACAGTCATTGCAGTTGATCTTAATACTAGTCACGAAATAACTCCCAGTTGATAGTACATATCTAACTGATGCCTTCTTTGCTGTAGAACAGTAAAATCTCCGTCAAAAACTGATGCCGCCTCTATCTATGGATGGGACTAATTTTTGTACTACAGGGGTTTGGGACTATAAAGCTGAAGTAAACACTATCAATAGGAAACAGCCCCAATGCATGATTTCCATAGTTCCATATACACTAGTAGCACAGTACTACCTAAAAACTTGTCATGAAAAAACTCCCACAAGAAGCTACCCAAATTATAAACATTGAGCATTTTTTAGTAAAAGTAACTGAAAATCTAGTCCATTTGCTTACCATATTGCGAAATGAAGTGCTAACAGAACAAAGATCATGGATGATTAGCATTGCCCTTTATCTTAATCTCAAGTTCTAGCTCCTTGTGTCTTAGGTCAAGCTCAAACCGCTTATTCTGAAGCATCATTTGTTCATTCTCCAACGCCAACTTTTCCAATTCCAAGTCCTTGTTCTTCCTGAACATCTCCCACTTGAGACGTTGCTTTGCGAGTTGCACAGCCTTGGTTTCAATCTGCAAACGATGTTTTTGAATCTCTGCTGCTTTCAGAGCCAAGTCTTTTTGCACCAAAGCCAAATCACATCCATCTGGAAAGGGTTTGTTGATATCCAACACGTCATAGGGATCAGACCTCCCACTACCATCATTCGAGCATGAGGTGACAAAACCTACATCACCATGATCTACAACATGCCACATCCTTTTATGCATTGAGGGGCCCCTTATATTGGTATCAACTGCTCGATGTTCTTCCTCATTCTCCTCATAATCTGAATCTTCACTCTGATCATCATCTAGTTCAGCATCTCCACTTGCATGCCTCATGAAATCATTATCCTCTTTACATCTAAGAGCAAGCTGTAGTGACTGCTGAAGTGCGGGATCTTCAGGCAGACTTATACGGTTATTATTATGGTAGGAACACATCTCTTCATAGAACAAGTGTTTGGAGTTCAGTATCTTCCTTGCATCCTCTTTCATCTTCTCAGAAATATCCATGTGATCAAGAAGTGAGTGATTCTCCACAACATTACAAGCAGTACCCCTTCCAAGGATATCTGTTAGTCTTTTGTATCTCTTATTAAGGTCATTGAACTTATCCTCACACTGCTGTGGCGACACATGGCAACCTCTCTCGCCCATGACCTTTGATATTGCTTTCCATTTTCCCTTCTTTTGCATCATTGAATAGTTCCTCCTCCCACCGCCTAAATCAGCTCCAGGATCCTCCCCTGTGTAGGATACTGCAGTAATCAAAAGCTTCACCATTGAATCTGTCCACTTCATCCGATGCCATGGAGAGCCCTTCTTGTCTTTGCCATCAGCAGCATCCTCATTCATATCGTGCTCCTCTTCATCACTCCCATGGTTCTTTGAGTGGTGTCTGTGGTGATGGTGATGATGGGCAATCTTCCCATGTTGTCCTAACTGAACTCCATCAGAGATGTTATCAGGCTCTGTAACCCTATCCATAGGAATGGTAAAATTCCCTGGTATCTGAGGCTGGTTGAAGCCCTGATTTCCTGAGTTTGGAGGATGCATTTGCTTGGAGATACCATGCAAATCTAAACTCCCATAGGAAGGTCCCTGTGTCATATTACCAGGTGGGTTGCTGCCTTCCATTTCCCCAAAGCGATCACCCAAACACTTCAACTTCTTGTTGGTACCATATAAGATGGACACAGGAGTGCACGAGGATGCACATGAATATAACCTGAAATGGCAGTTTGGTATGAATTTTTGGAAATCCAACACATGTATATTGCACATTTCTATACATCTCAATCTTCAGAATCAATTTGCTAAAAGAAAAAGATCTTCAGAATCACACAATATATCTTAACTAGAGTCCATATGTAATCAGGGCCACCTAATAAGAAATAACTAATGCACAAATTTGAAGAGATTTTAAATCAGTGTTACACAATAAAGGGTAATTTCAGCCTCCTATAGTTGTCATAATTGCCAAAGCAAGATAATATTGGAGCACTAAAAATCAGAGTGTTCTGAAGAATCTAAACTGCATCAACCAACAACCTAATTAATCAGCAGCACAAATGACAAATCAAACCATATTACTCCACTGGGTAATGTGAGTGGAACAATTTTAAAACATTATTGCAGTGGCAAGTGGCAACCAATCAACCACTAGCCAAAACAAAAAAATGTTGCAACCTTTCCATGCTACTCATAACTAACGAGAAGAAAATGCATGGGGAAAAATAAATCAATTTGTCACCTCACAAGAAAAAATAGTAAAAACAAAGTGTCGTGCGCAAATTAGCTGTCCATGTGTAATAATAATCCACGAACCACACCAAAATATAAACTATCAAATTCTCACACGCACGATCAGTGGCAGAGGACTAAAAAAAGAAGAGGTGTGGCTCATGAATTATCATGAGAATCAACCCAAGAATAATGGGAAAAAAATTCTCAAATTGCACCACATTGTACCACACAATATTATCTTAACAAGTCTATATTAAGCATGACAACAACCCCTCATGACACTAAAAATTACCTCAAGTAATGAAGTTTCAGCAGTACATGGGATAGCCAAAGGAGGATAGACATATAAATAATCTGCAAAACAGATACTCCTAGCAAAGATGGATCGATTAATAGGCTATCTTTAAGGTGGATAAGGCAAATAGCAAAGATTGAATCATCCTGTTGATCTGCTGCTGCTGCCGGCCTGCCCTGCTACTTGTTGGCCCGCCACCTGCTACTGCCGCGCTGCCCAACTGCAGCCACAGCCTGCAGCCCACCCAGCCGCCCTTGCCGGCTGCCGCAGCTGCGCTGGCGGCCCTCCGCCGCCTGTCGACGTGCCACCTCCCGCTCGCCCGTGGCTGTCGTCACTCATCAGCTCCGCCAATCGCACGAGATGGGGAATCAATGGAGATGGGGGAACCAAGCACCTCGGCAGCGCGCGAAAACTGCCCGGCTGCAGTGGATTGGGAGCGGGAGGTATTCTCTACTGGTGGAGAACGGAAACACGGGATTAGGGTCTCAAAATTTTTGGAAGCTGGTTTGGATATCTGTTGGATCCATTTTTTTTGCTCGAAAAACCCCAAAATTTGAAATTGGGAGTAGTAGGGGAACTCTTGGTGATGCTAGTAACACACAAAACAAGCCCAATGTGGGTCTCCAATTCAACGGCGAGAGGCCAAGAAGCGAGAACGCCTTCGCCTGTCGGCCGTCGCTCGCTCGTCTCGTTGAGTCCGTCCTTCTCCCCAGCGGCGACGCCGCGCTCTGCGCCGCCGGACGGCGCGAGGTATGGCGAGCCCTACCGAGTCCTCCGCACGATTAAACCCCGGCCCCCAAGCGCTCCGCCTCCGACCGGGGTAGCCCCCGAGCTCGGGATGGCGTACGTGGCCGCGACGAGCCTACGCGGAGTGCTCGTCGCCAGCGATCCGAGCGGCGAGTACCCCCCCCCCCCCACACACACACACACACGCACACACAAAAAACTCATTGGGTTTAACGCCCCCACGCGATGACAGCGGAAGCCGCTGCGACCAACAAAGCGATGCATCGGGAGGGAAAAGGAGAGCTGACTCACGACGGTATCCGGCGACTGAACTGAACGCCGGCGAGGAGACAATCCGCCTCCGCCTCCGCCTCAGCCTCCGCCGAAATATTGGGCCTCGCCGAGCACGAGGTTTCTCTTTCTCAGAAGAAAATGCCAAAGCTGAACGGAAAGGAAGGAAAGAGTACGAAAGGTACCATAAAAAAAACAAACCAAAAAAAGGAAATCGCCGAAACGACACGTCGGAGGCGCGATTCCTCGTGGCACGGTATCGGCTACTGTCGCCTACCGCTGACACGCGGGGCCCACCGACAGGGGGCCCACCGACCAGGGGGCCCACATGTCATCTTCACGGTGATGGCGTGGGGACGGTGAGGCACGGCGGCGCGGTTCCCACGTTCCGTTCCGTTTCGCGTTACGGGGGTGGGTGGGGCCCGCATCACAGCGGGGCCATGACGGCAGCAACCGAACCCCATTCTCTCTGGTTGGGGGGTTTATTATTGGTTATGGGCTTGTGGCAGGATGCAGATGACACCTGAAGAAAAGAAAATATAAACACACTTGGTGATTAATTGTTGCATTTGCATGGAGTTTAATAGTCAAAAAGTGATTTCACTGGATGTTATGATGCGAAAGGAGTCGTCTAATTGCACTTGTAATGGCGTTGTTTTTGACAAAAATCTATTTGTTGACTTTTGGTTATGTCAGGGTGTCCGGTTGTTCATAAATTCTGATGGGGAATGTCAAAATTGTACTGCAAGGGTGAAAAAGATTGCAGAGCCAGGACACTCTTCCGAATCAGACGAGTGCAATACACCAACTGTGTATTGTCTGCTGATCTGACGAGCTCAATCAGTAGACAGAAGTTTAGTTCGGAGCATTTGGCTAACGTGTTTCCTAAACCATCATTGATTTGCCGAATTTAGAAAACAATTATCACACCAAAATGAACTAGTATACTGAACCATCCAGAGATGCCATGCCTATCTCTTGGGCATCATCAAGAGGCAGTTCGCTGATTCCTGAAAATATTTTCTGAAACTTTCAGCACACCAACTTGGAGAGTAGCAGTACTAAATTTACTCTTGGCGATCGCATGATCCGAGGAATCTTTGAACAAGCTACGGACAAACAAAACAAACAACGCATGACGTCAACCACGATCTGATCAGAACATTTCTTTACTCCCATTAATTTGGTGATCCTGCTTTGTAATCTTCCATTGACAGAAAAAAAAAAGGCTCCTCTGCCAATCTGCCATCAGGGCTTGTAATCAACTGCTCCCTCTTGTTACCGACCCTAATCCTATCAAGACAAGGCCCAAAGGCACAAGACAAAGGAAGCCCAATACCCATGTGAGTGGGCCGGACTGGGTTGTGTAAGGGAACATCTGAGTCTATAAAGATGTTACCCAGGCAAGGAGAGAGGATCGTTGAAAAATATTATGTACAGACTATCTTCCCCAAATCAATTCCAATCCTCTCTCCTCTCCCAACTCCTCTGTTCTTCCTGGACTCTTCCTTCCTTCCTTCCTTCCTCGTTCTCAAGTTGTTCGACCGAATTCTCAAGAGGGGTTCGTGACAAATCTGGTATCAGAGCAGTCGATCCTGGAGTACTTGGAGAAACCCCGCTATCACTCGCGAGCGCAACTCAAGGCAAACAAGATGGAGCAGCAGCTGAGCGAGCTCATGACGACCATGGCGACAATCCAAAAGCAAAACGACGCCATCAAGGTGTCGATAGGGGCCATCGAAGAAATCAAGCCAATGGTGGTGGAGCTGGTGGGGTGGAAACCGGCGGTGGAGAAGGCGGTGACCGAGCTGCGGGAGGAGATGGGGGATCTCAGGGCGCAAGTTCATCAACTCGCCAAGGGGACGACGCCGGAGGTCAAGGCCGACGAGCGACCAGCGCCTTCCTCGACTCCTCCCAACATTAAGCCTGACGAGTTACCTGCGCTGCTTCCAACTCCACCAGGCCCGAAGCTGAAGCAGATGAAGGAGGAGGAGCGCTCGATTCCGCAGGAGCGCGGTGAAGAATCTCATGGGCTATTTAGCCATCGCGTGGACTTGAATCACCGGGGGAAGGCTGTGTGGGGAAATCCCTCTTCACAGTTTCTCCCGGTCAAGGTGCGTTCAATTCCTTTTCCCCTACTAATTATGTTCATGAATTTGGAGGGAATTCGCGGGGTAGGGTTTGGGGAATTCAAAACACTACATCTAGGGTTGAGTGTCCAGTTTTTGATGGGGGAAATCCTAAGGCATGGAAACTGAAATGTGAAACTTATTTTGGGTTGTGTGGAACTCATTCAGATCACTGGATTGGAGTGGCTATTCTTCAGTTCACGGGTGCTGCATTGACTTGGTTGCAGTCCACCCATGCTCATGAAGTTAGCGGTAGTTGGGAAGAATTTGCAGCGTGGGTGTGTGGGAAATTTGGTAGGGAGGAGTTCCAGCGTTTGGTGCGCTAGTTTAATAGGTTGAGACAAACTGAAGGGGTGATGGCGTATGCAGAGAATTTTAATGAGTTGATGCATGGGTTGCACGCGCATCATCCGTCTTGGAACTCTGAATTTTTTGTTACTCAATTCCTAGAAGGGTTAAGGGCTGAGATTAGGGCTGCTATTGTGTTACATCGACATGCCAATTTGGATACTACTGTGGAGTTGGCTTGTTTGCAGGAGGAAGTGTTGGAAACTAATCTCAAGGAAGGCCGTAAGATTGACTCACATGGCAGAAATACTTTGCGTGCTACCTCCACTCTGGCACGTCCATTTGGGGGACAGTGGATGAAAGGGGAAGAACGACTGAAGGCTGAAGTGCCAGCTGAAGATAAAGTTGCTGCTCTTCGTGCTTACCGTTGTTCCAAAGGTTTATGTCATACTTGTGGAGAGAAGAGGAGTCAGGAGTATCGTTGTGGACCGACAGTGCAATTACATGTGGTGGAGGAATTGTTGCAATTATTTCCCTCAGAGGATGTTGTTGAATCTGACACCAATGATGCTACTCCTGATGAACCTGAAACAGAGGAATTGCTGGCCATTTCTAGGGAAGCAGTTCTGGGCATTGAGTCTCCTAAGACAATGCGGTTGCAAGGGTTAATTCAGCGCCATGAAGTCTTGATGCCTGTAGATTCCGGCAGCACTCATAGCTTTATCAGTGAACAATTGGCAAATCGATTGTAGGGAATATGTGCTTCTGTATCGCCGTTGACAGTTAAAATTACTGATGGAGGTTTACTCAAGTGCACAAGGGAGTTTCCTGATTGTCAATGGTGGGTTCAGGGAGAATCTTTCAGTACTCCTCTGAAAGTTTTGCCGTTGGGTTGTTATGAGGTAATACTTGGCATGGACTGGCTTGAGCGGCATAGCCCAATGCAAATTGATTGGAAACTCAAAACTTTGCAGTTCCAGTGGCAGAATCGGCAAGTGACATTACAGGGAGTTATACCTGATACAAGTGATTGTCCTCCGGTGACCTGCAATCAGCTTAAGGGTTTGCTGCATCATAATGTTGTCTTGCAGGCAGTGGCTCTCTGTCCGGTGGACACACCTGTGAAACCTTCTCAGACAATTGTGCCAGCTGATATTGAAACTTTGTTGTTGGAATTTGCATCAGTTTTTGATGAACCAACTGGGTTGCCTCCTTCTCGTGTGTTTGATCACAGTATTCCACTTTTGCCAGGGGCGTCGCCGGTTAACTTGCGCCCTTACCATTACAACCCTGCGCAAAAGACTGAAATCGAGAAGCAAGTGTCAGATATACTGCAGCAAGGGGTGATTCAGCGCAGTGCTAGCCCGTTCTCATCTCCCGTGCTCTTGGTACAGAAGAAGGATGGCAGTTGGCGATTTTGTATTGATTACCGTCATATTAATGCGATTACTATCAAGAATCGTTATCCGTTGCCAATTATTGATGAGCTTTTGGATGAATTAGCGGGTACATGTTGGTTTACAAGTTTGGATTTACGGGCCGGATACCACCAAATTCGTATGAAGCCGGAAGATGAACATAAAACGGCATTCAAAACTCATCATGGACATTATGAGTTTAAAGTCATGGCTTATGGATTGACTGGGGCACCGGCTACTTTCCAAGGGGTGATGAACACTATATTTGAACCATTCTTGCGAAAGGGGGTTCTGGTTTTTATCGATGATATTCTTATTTATAGCCGAACTCTTGAGGATCATATTAGACTACTTCGAGCAGTCTTCTCTTTTCTCACCGAGCAGCAGTTAAAGGTGAAGAGGTCTAAGTGTGTCTTTGCCTAATCTTCTTTAACTTATTTGGGACATGTGATCAGCGCTCAAGGAGTGTCCACTGATGCTCGTAACATATAGTCTGTGCTCAATTGGCCAGTTCCAAGTAATGTGAAAGAAATAAGGGGATTTTTGGGACTTGCGGGCTATTACCGCAAATTTGTCCGCCATTTTGGGTTACTAAGTCGGCCTTTAAGCTTCTCAAGAAGAACGTGGTGTTCCATTGGACCTCAGAAACTCAAGCGGCATTTCAGGCCTTGAAGAATGCACTTACATCAGCCCCGGTATTGGCTTTGCCGGATTTCTCCAAAGTTTTTGAGATTGAAACGGATGCTTCAGCTTTTGGCATAGGAGCTATGTTGATGCAGGATGGACATCCTCTTGCGTTTTTAAGCAAGGCATTGGGACCACGCAATCGAGGACTGTCTACTTACGAAAAAGAATGTTTGGCCATTTTATTGGCAGTTGATCATTGGCGCTCATATTTGCAAGGAGCTGAATTTGTGATCCGTACTTTAGCGGAGTTTGATACATTTGGGTGATCAGAAGTTGACCACACCTTGGCAACAGAAGGCTATGACGAAGTTATTGGGGTTGCAGTATCGTTTGGTCTACAAAAAGGGT